AAAAATGAAGGCGGGGGGGGGGGGGGCGTGGTATATTCTGGTCGTAAAAAGGGAAAATAGGGCTTGTACATCCTGGTCATGAAATGATATTTATCTTATTCAAGCAAAAGTAAAACATAATCGTGGCTTTTAGCCTGGCATGACAATTTCATTATTTATCCCTGAACAAAGGTTAACGTTCATCGAAATTCAGCTGTACCTTTAGCACGTTGTTATACGCTAGTCCACTATTATTAGAAAAATTTTACTTTGAAAAAAAAAGTTTTAAAACTTACATTTGGCAGTTGTGTTAATAAATAGCGTTACTAAGATTTATGATACACTAAGTTGTGTGAGTAACATACAATTGTCTGTGTAGCTTATGAACAATTATGGCAGAAAAGGGTGTATAAAGGGACTCTTTTAAATAATGTTTTTAGCAGTTGCTCAAAATCCTGATTTAATAATTTGCTAAATTCTAAAAACAAGGTTATACTACTACTCCTATTTGCGCTCACGTGCCGTAGTAACTCCGCACTGCCCCTTAAGTTTCTTTTTTAATCCGCGCGACTTAGGGGATTAACAATCAGATTTGCCGCGTAACGAAGAATCACTTAGGACGCGACCTTGACCTGAGAACAAAAGGCTGCATAATGAGGCTAACGAGCAACATCCCAGTAGGTATGTAACCAGATAGCATGTTCAGTGCCGACTTCAACTTTGGGCTAACTCGGCAACAGTCAGCGGCCCCACGCAGGTTTAACTTCGCCACAGCATCAAGTTTCACTCCATTGTTTGTATTTAAATTTAAAGCATGTTTGTTTTTAATAATATTTCTATCTCGTTAAGCCTTTTTCTAAAGAATTTGTAAATATATTTTTACGAGGTAAACTGATTAGCTTTGTGGTTGATTAGTTTGGAAAAACAGTTAGATGGTCCATTTGTGAGAACTTCTCCCCCCCCCCCCCCCCCACCCCCTCCGCCGTAGAGCTTGAACTTGCTGCATGCTGTTTTATCATAACCAACTTAGCTTGCAGATACATCAGAAACATCTATGCTGTGTTGTTTTTATTGAACGCTTGTGTTAATCTGGCTAAAGAGGGTTCTGGAAAAGTAGTACCTTTCATGTCGAGCTGCACCTTCAGGTGAACCGTTTCACTGTTCTCCTTCTATCCCCTACATCTGTTACATGTGGGTAAAAGCGCCAGCAAACAGCATCAGCTAGCGGTCCAAACCATGTGAGGGGGGGGGGGTGCTAACACGGCATCACTGGGCAAATACTCATCCAGTAAAGGTCGCCGACCAGGGCGCAAAAGTTCCTAGATGAACTTTAACGGTCACGTGTTTTGACCAAGGCGCGCCACCTAGATGGAGGCATTTAGCTGTGGTCAGGCATGCGACTCTTGACCCTAGACACACCACAAAATGACTATGATAACCAACTCCCTGTCAACAAGATCCTCGCCTACAGTTACAGATCAGGACGAAGGTGGAGAGTACTGTTGATCTGCCAAGAACTAAGGTCTATGCAAGAACCACAGTCGGCCATGGGAATGTGCGATCGCTAAGAGAAACACGCAGACCTGAGCAACTCGAATATACAAATATACAATAAACGGAGTCAGATGGAAAGCCATCGGGCTATGTGAAATGCGATGGAAACACACAGAGGACAACACCACAGTAGAGGGAACACAATCTGTGCAATAGTGAACGAAACGACAGACTACTGGGCATAGTTACAACACAACTGAAATCGTATGGACATGTCACACGAACCAACGGCCTATCCAAAACAATAATGTTAGGAGGGAGGAGAAGGGGAAGCCATAGACATTATTTCGTTGAGGACATCAAAGATTGAACAGGGCTGTCCGTTGTAGAACTACTCACGCCATCAGAGTAATGAAACAAAAGGGGGAACATTGACTGTGATTCCCCAAAAGATCCCAATAAAGGGTTAAGAGGCGATTGACTGATTGATTGTAGTAATCTTTTTTATAGTTGATTTCATATTTGTATGTACATTTTGACTTATGTCATGATTATATGTACATTTTGACTAATGTCATGATTGTATGTAAATTCTGTGATAACTATAACAAAAAGTTAATGAGTGTTTATGTGTACGCTTTCTATTAACCAATACAAAATAACTGTATTTAATATATAATTTTTATTTTACATTAAGACGTATGCCAGTATTGTAAGTCAATCAACGAAAGGCTGATTAGATGTGGAGGTCAAAGGTCGACTTGTATCAGAGTTCAGTGGTCACTAACAATACAGTGAACTATTGACCTTTTTATCTACAAAGACTTGACCGTTGATTGGCTCCTCAAAGCTTGTAGCTGTTCTATTCTCCTTTGTTTCTTACGTTTGGGTTTGAGTTAAACTAAAGCAACACTTTTTAACCATGCTTTTCATTCATTTAAATTTCTTACACGATAAAGATAATGATTTTCAATATTTATAAAGTTTTTTAATGGTACTTTAATTACGAAATATCCGCCCACCCCCAAACCCTCCTATGAAAATTATTAGCAAAGATAAATATCATTATCAATACAATATTGCAATGATAGAGATAAAATGTTCTTTCTTAACAGAGACTCAAAATAGGCTATAACATTTGAATCTAAGACAACAGACCTTAATTAGTCCCAGTCCTAAAAACAGCAAGATTTACACACACACAAATATTAAAACTGAAGAACAAGACTCTATTCGAATAAAATGTGACGTCGCAATCACTGGGTAAAAAGCACACAACGAGACGATCAAACTGAATGAAAAGACATCCACTTTTAATAATTAATTATTCAACTCTTTTCTTTCAATCGTATCATTTATTTGTAAATTATGTAAAAACAATGAAACGGCAAAATGTCTGTTATCATGTTTATTCCCTGTTTTCTTTTATTACAATTTCCGTTAACTTTGAATAAGAAATTAGTACAAATATTACCGTTTCATTCCCTCTTTTAGATACATTGTTTAAAATAATTAAGATGCCAGATCAATTTTTTTTTCTTTTACGGACAACTTAAAGCTTTATACTTAAAGCTAAAGATATTTAGCTTTAAATAACGGCGTCACACGTCAGAGATGCAATCTTTGTATCTGGGATCTTTATCGTTGCAATTTTCTCCTATTAATTATGTACAACATTATCTGATTGTGTGCCGCTTTTAACATAAAGTATTTCTTATGCTTTATTTAATGTTCGCTGATAAATTGTTTAGCTTTGAAAAGGGGATCCATGGTTATTGCAATGAGAAATAATGGCAACGATGGTGACATTTTATTTTATAGATATTTCAATAAAGAAACCGTTTAAACAAAGAAACAAAGAGTGGCTTTTCATTTAGTTATGTTGTAAGATGAAGTATGGTTGTGTTATAGAGCAGTTTGGCCTAGAAAACGGTTTTTGTTGTAGGTATATTGTTTCCCAGTTGTTTAGAAGGGCTGTAAGAATATCATTTTCAGCTTACAAGTTATTTATAACACAAAATAAGGATTTTTGTAATGAAGGCGTATTAAAGCAGGCGAGTCTCTCAAAAATGAACGTGACTCCTACATGTTTGTGGTGCTTAATGTAGTCGTTGTTTGCTGGGCGTGAGGGGGTGGGGAGAGTTTAGATGTGTCATACAACCTGAGGGGTGGTGGTCAGAGTTTCTTCCAGGCATCTCTTCGGGGGGAGGGGGCAAAGCCCCCCCCCCCCCCCGAAATTTTTTTTTACCGCCCCCCCCCCCCCGAACGAAATGAAATTTATATAATTTATATAGACAATATATACTTTTAACAGTGTCCGCCCCCCCCCCGAAGAAAGTCTACCGCCCCCCCCCCGAAAATTTCAAGTGCCCCCCGGAGAAAAAAAAGTCTGGAAGAAACACTGGTGGTGGTCTATGGAAATTATATGAAACTGTATGTAGAGTAGAGGTTGGTTCAAATCTCTAAGTTGTGTATTAGCCTATATTAGAGTGTATGATCCCTATCCATGTTTACGTATCAGATCACACACACACACATACATACATACAAACACACAAACAAAGAAAAAAATGGGGGGGGGGGGTAGTAAACACAAAAAAGAAAACTCTTTTAAATGTAATGTAGTTTAAAACCGTCGACACCTGTGCAATATAACGAAATTGTATTAACTAAGCAATCGAGCAAACATATTTTATTTAACCAATGCGCTAATCATTACCTCTATGTAATTAAGTAAATATGGATGTAATCTGTACGCTGCTTAAAACTAAATTAATGTTTCTGTAAGGGGTAAGGGGTGCTAGCGTAGTGTTACGTACAGGGTTGAAGCAGGAGAGTTACTATTTCTCAAAATGCGTGGCACTATTCGTTAAGCAACCAAAGTTTCTCAGCCTAGACAACGCCCCTTCACACGCGTGATTCTAACTACCGCGAGATAAGAAACGAAAAAACCTGCACAAAGAACCCTTGTTCTGTAATGTTTTCCTAAAAGCCGATCTTTGTACGAGCTCTCATATCAAGTTCAATAGTGCCAGATTTCGAGAGATATAGCGCCGCCTAGTCACGTTACTAGCTAGTGTCTGTCATTGGTTAGTTTACTTTTGGGTAGTTTAGTATTGATTCAGTCAGCATTTGATACTTATTATTGGTATTGGTTAACCTAATATTGGTTAACTCATCATTTATTATTTATCACTGTTAAAAGCATCATTGCTAAATTCATCATTGATTAAATAATCCTGGTTAAACTATCATCAATTAAATATATTTGTTTACTTATCATTTGTCAACCTATGGTTTAATGATTAAAATGCTGTTAACGTATTATTGTTTAAAAGATGGTGTAAGAAGGCTTTTGCGGCAAGTTCGGAAAAACTAAATTGATTTAAAACCCGCACTGTTCAACATAACCAAGCCATCGATACTGGAAAGTTTCAATAAAAATAAATAAAGCGGAAGTGACTTCCTTAAACTTTCTCGCGAATTCTTATATAACAGTAACTGGAAGGCACTTCCAATGCAATAAGGCTAAAAATGTTTATAAATACGTTTTAAATATTTTTTTTTACTTTCTCGTATACAGATCGTACAGAAAGTATTGCACTCGTGGTGAATAATTAACAATATTTTGTCTAGATTCCAGGGCCAGAAAAACTTAGTTTTTAAATTCTGGCGTCTCTGTGTGTGATGTAAAAACGATAACTTGAGTACTGTTTCAGTTACATTGACGAAATTTCATATATAAGTATTATGTTAAATGTGTATTTTTTTTTGGTCTACTTTTGAGCTATCTCCATTTGTTGAAGATGGTACTCACTTCTAGTGGCGTAGCGAGGTCGGGTGTCACCCGGTGCGGCACTTAATGGTGTCACCCCCCCCTCCCCCCCAGAGTCGTAGCGACCCTTCACGGGGAAAAACTTTCAAGTTTTCGATTTTCACCCCCCCCCCCTCAAACTTTCGATTTGCAACCCCCCTCTCAAGTTTTTCTCTATATATTTTGCTATTTTTTGCCTTGGTGTCACTCCCTAAATGGTGTCACCCGGTGCGGTCCGCACCCGCCGCCCCCACCCCTCGCTACGCCCCTGCACACTTCACATTCTGTTTCTCAAAAGCTTAGAACTAAGCATTGTTTTAAGTTATAAAATTTCAAATATAAATATTAGATTGTATGCGAATTTTTTGTTAACGATTGAACAATTTTCGTTAACCGGAAGTGGTACTTCACTCTATTTATTTTTTCCGATATGTCGACGTAATCGTGAAAATAGGTATAAGTATAAGATTTTATAATTGGATTACTTTCAAATTTTGTTTGACCTCCGATACCCGGAAGTGGTGCTTTACTCAAAAGTACCATTTCCGTTGGGTGATCAAAAAAATGTAACAGTGGGGGGATTTCTGCTTTCCTCTTTAGCGGTTTCTAAAAAAAAAATACCACTTCTAACTGGCCGATTTGTTTCAAGCTTTCTATCGAGTCAAGACTCAATGACAATGCACTGTGACATAACTAGAATGGCTAAATAACTTTTTTTTAAATGAACCAATGTTTCATTTATAAATTTCAAATTTTCCGCTTTATTATGTACACAATTTTTTTTTTCGTTCTTTTTTGATGCGTAGTATTGAAAATTCGTCAACGTAACTGAAACTGTATTCAATTTATTGTGTACAGGTTCAAACTACTGCACAAGTTTGCACAACAAAGTTTTCTGAATAAGGGATGTCTAAATCTCGATGTCGAACTTTTGTAAGATTCGATTGAGCAATATTTTCTCTATAGGAGTATACTCCGTGCAGTAGAATGTAAAAAGTGTATATTCTCTAAAGTCATTATAGAACTTACTAGAATCTACACACTTGAAACATTTCAATTATAAACTTGTTCTAAACTTTCGAAACATTATATCGTTTTCATCAGCAACTGCTGCTTCTGTTCTTTAATATTATATAATCGTACTTCCTACGTACGTTGGGGAAAGTAAAGGCTGCTGGCATAGCGCTGACCGCTGAAAATAGTTGGAAATGTGGGTAATAAATTTGAAAACGTCACATTTGTGGCCCATCCACTAAACGTTTCTCATTTTGCCTTGAGTCATAAATGTGACAGTAACTTCGAAATTGAACTAAAAGATTTATAGCGATTTTAGAAAATGCAGATTCTATTTGTTTAATATATTTGACGACTTAGCTTACAGACAGCTTTTATGCTTGTTAATGATATACGTTGGGGAAAAAATGTTTTTTTAAAAACTTGCAATGTTTTGATGTAATGTAAACTTTGGTTAAACTTTAAAAGAAACGCAAAAATCTTATTTGACAATCATTTGCATAAACTGACCAGGAAGGGTTCATTTCCGGGTTAAACATGGTTGGTACAGACTACGACCACACAACAGTCTTTAGAAACTAAAATGATCATAATTTCGTTGTAATGTTTGGCCTATAGATCTAGATCTATATTTGATAAAAAATAATAATATTCCTAGATGTTAAATATTCTGTCTAAAAAAAAAAGAATGAATGTTTTAGTTTGCTTAAGTCTAGGTTTCAAGAAGTTAGAAAAGTCAGTCTCTCACTCTCTTACTTATAATACTTAATACTTAGTCTTAGTCTTAACTTCCTTAAGTCTTAACTCTTTAACTCTGTCTACTACAGTTCAAGTACTACTAGATCTAGTCTCTACTACTACTACTACTAGTCAACTACTTTATTTTTTTACTACTACTACTAGCTAGATCTTAAATCTAGTACCTATTATTTAGCTAGTACTACTAGATTCTAGATCTACTAGTAACTAGTGAACTCTAGTCTCTAGGTAGACTCTAGACTTAGAGTAGTCATCTTCTTCAAGCAGTAGTAGATCTAGAATCTAGATAGATTAGGCCTATTTATTATAGAATTATAGATGTGGCCTAGAATAGAAAGAATGACCTAAATTATTAATTATTAGAGTTTACTATTCCAGATCTAAAAATTTAAAATTAGACCAGTAATTACTAGCATTTTGGGTCCTAGATTAAACCCCTAGATTAGATGTAGGATTCTATGTGCTTTGACCACAGGTACTTTGATCATGTCATAGTCCACAGTCATAGTTAGGCAAGATGGTCTTTGACCACAGCAGTGCTTTGACCATAGGGGAGGTTTGGCTACAGCTGAGCTTTTGTCCACATGTATTTTTCATGATTAGTTAGGGGCCTAGGACTTATTAATTTAAATTAAACCCCAATGATGCAGTTAATACAACTTTTAAATGAAAAGTTTCCTTTGAATTTCTACATTAATAATCTATATATATAATTCTCTTCTGGGAGACGCTAGAAAACGAGCTGCATGCGCGCCTTGCAGTCCCCTCTCTTCCTCTCTATCACTACTGTCCCCACCTCCCACATGTTCTGTTGAGCTGTGGTTCATGATAAATGTTTACAATCCGGGTTTAGTGACGGCTATTAGGGGCAGATCATTTAGTTTTAAACTATTTTAAACTTAAGAGGAGGTAACTAAGAGGAGGCTGCTTTCACGGGGGGGGGGTGTGTAGGGTTGGGAGAGGGGGGGGGTTAGTGTTTTAAAGCAAATATTTTCAGTGGCAGCATTGGTACTGTTGAATTCACAAATTATGAATTACTGAAAAGTAGAAAATAAAACAACAAAATAGTGGCGTATGATATGCCGCGGGTCGGCTCATAAATAATAATAGAACTAAGAAATTACCCTGTTTTAAATTTTTTAAAGTAAATTATAGTTTAAAATAATACTAGTACAGCTTGGTGTCAATAATAGCTAAACTTATGTCAAAAACTCAGATCTATGGTTAAGGAATATTTGTACTAATTTGAACCATTATGTGATTACTACAGGAAGGAATCCATTCCAAAAAAATTCTGAATGGGTTGAAATAATTATCATATTAAAGTACACACCATTAATAAGTTTGTTCAAATAACGTAAATTAGAGTAATCAAATACAATTCTTTTTTGTTTAGATATTGTTCCAAGGAATAAAATTCAGGATTTGCTTTTGGATTAGGCCTAAATATCAGGGTTTTCAAATTTTTGTATTTCAGAATTAAAAATCAAAATAAGTGGTGTGAATACTTCTACAATGGAGGGATCGTTTAGTAAAGATAATGATCTTGCTGAGGTAAAGCCATTTGATGTGGCTGGTCCTTCAACAGCAGAAATTGTGTTAAAAGAGGAAATTTTACCTGCTGATATAGAGATGGTAGCAGCTGAAGGTAAGCTTTAATGAACACAGTAGAGTTGTGATGTTTTAGCCTATGCATAGTAAATAACAGAGAAGTAGATAGTACACTTTAGTGTAACATAACATTAAAATAAAACTTTTGGAAAGAAGGCCCTTAAGAAAATTCATTTAATCTATTTCTATTTTTTTGTTTTACAGAACTTGTAACTGCGCCACAACCACTGGAGCACAACTATTCTAAGTAAGCTTTTTTTATGGTAGCATGTTAATTCTTTTAAAGTCAGCAAGTTTCTTGTCCTCACATTTACATTTTTTTATCACTACTTTAAATTCAAAATATTTTACTACAATTTTTTAACTCTTAATTCGAATCATATTTATTTTGTTTGAGTAAAATTACAATTTAATCATAATTAATTTATATGCTTTATTACTTTTATACACAGAATGAAACTAAAGACCCACCACATTGAAATTGGGACGTATGATAAATTAATTAATTGCTATTCAGAACCAACTGAACCGCTACTGAATGGGTACATTGCACGAAGTGTGCAACACTGTACTATGAAAAATCTGACTTTCGTGTGTAGTAAGGATATGGCAGAGAAACAGGGATTGACTAATGCAAATAGTGAACTAATTCAAAAGTTTTATAGTGCTGTTTCAAAGCTAATGAGAGAAATCAATCACTTAAAAAAGGATACAATTACCAACTGGAACAAGATTGTGGAGCTTCTAAACAAACCTTTTACATCCAAAGATGAGGTCATTACCACCGTAATGCCGAATGGAGAAATACATACAAATAATTTAGAGATTATTAAAGTACATAAGTTGCCTACTAAGGAGCTATCCTTAAGTAAGGAAGATAGACCTAGTGTGGCAAGGGAGGTTAAGATACATACTAGTCCATTCATAGTGAAAAGCTTGATCAAACCCAAGGTCAGTCCTAGTGTTTTCACAGACGAACAGATGACCCCAGTTGAGGAAAGTGGAAATGGGTTAACGATAAAAACCAACTGTTGCTCAAGGTGTCATGTGACTGGTCAAGAACTACTGAAGAGTAGAAAGACAATTAAAGAGCTTCAAGAAAAGTGTCGTACTCTTCAGGTACCTAGAATAGAAAGAATGCAAAAAGAGTTAGAGAACAAATGTTATAAGAGCAATCAGGCACTTCTTCAGAGTAGAAAGAAAATTATTGAGCTCAGGGCAACGATTCGCTCTCTTCAGTCACCTAGAATAGGTCATTTGCAAGAAGCTTTGAAAAAAAAATCCATGCAGGCAGCAAAGTTGAAATCTGAGTTAAAAACAATCTCTACTACAGAGAAAGAGAAGGGTGAACTGGCCTTAGCAGCAACACGTCAAGAATTAAGGTTATTAAGAGTTGTCCATACTAAATTGCAGAAAAAATTGCAGACATTTACGGAAACAAATAACCAAAATGTTCTTCTTTTGGCAAATAAGCTGAAACTTTGTCAGAATGAAAATGATGACCTGAAGAGAGAGAATAAAAAGCTCGCTGAAGAAAACCGCGCACTAAATGATAAACTTTCTACTGAGTTGATTTTCGCAATTTGATTCTTTTACATGATCTGGATAAATAGCTTGATAGCTGAATGTTTAAAGTAAAGGTCCAGAATTTAGTGAATGGTCTATATTTGACAGCATTTGTGATCTGTTCTGTTTAGTTTTTCTTTTACCTGTATTCAAATAATAACAGTTATTTTAAAAACTTATGAATTTTATTTATGATTGATTGATAAAGAATTTTTGCAAAAATACTACAATGTACTGTAATTTATCATCACCTCTGCCCTATTGGGGTATGGGCCGCCAACCAAGGATTTCGAGAATCCATCTTTTTTTAAACTTTCAGCTTGAAGGTCTTGTCACCAGGCATTTGTTAGAAAACCTCTTGGTTGGCAGTCTACACAATGTTTACCCTACCTAATTCCATCTTCTTTTCCTGTTGTACAGTTACTTGTAATAAGATGTGTGATACATATATATAAATCAATACATTGGTGTATTTGTCTTTAATTTACTATCTCTTTGTTAATTATAATAAACATGTTAAATGTTAGCTGATTTATTTGTCACTTTTTGTGTTGGTGTAAAGAAAAACAAAATAAAATGTTGAGTCTTAAAACTGAAAATACATGCATCACATGAAAATAAAAACACAGTAAGTGGGTATACCAAAAGCTTGTATATAATCATTCACTGAAAAGGATGAAATTAATGATTTTATTTAAATATAAAATAATGCTCTGTTTCATTGACTGTATAAAGAATAGTGGGTTGCTTCTTAATTGTTAGTAATGGCAAAGGTATTCAATATGTCATGTAGTGACCCATGTCTTTCTTTTTTGTTACTTAAATAGTGGTACATTATTATATATATATATAATAAAACAAGCTTTTAAATACACTGAAAAAAGAATATAAAACAAATTAGATAAGATAGCCCTGTATTGTCATCGAAGTTGAACTTATCTGGAAAAGTTTGAACGATGTGGAAGTGTGTCAAAATTGAGTAACAAGATTTGCCACAAACAAGCGTAAAAGCTTGTACAAATGAAATAATGATCGCCAAGAAACTTTGGGGAGTTATTACATTACGAGAAAAATGGCCCGTTGAGGAAGGATACACCGGGCGCTAGGTTGATAGTGCTGTCTCTTTTCTCTAAACAAAAACCACCCCCCCCCCACACACACCACCCCCACCCCCACCCACACCACCCCAACCCCCCACCCCCCCCACACACCACCCCCCCCCCCCACACACCACCCCCCCCCCACCCCCACCCCTACACACACCACCCCACACACACACCACCCCCCACCCCCACCCCCCCCCCCCCAAAAAAAAGCATGTCTACCGTCCCATTCAACAAAATATAATTATATACTTTTTCCAGTGTCCGCCCCCTCCCCGAAAATTCTACCCCCGCCCCCGAAAATTTCAAGTACCCCCACCCCTCTCCGGGGAGGAAAAAGTCTAAATTAAAACCACCCCCCCCCCCACTCACCCCCCATCCCCCCCCACACACCCCCCCCCACCCCCCACCCACAACCCCCCCCCCCCCCTAAAAAAACATGTCTACCGTCCCATTCAACGAAATATAATTATATACTTTTTCCAGTGTCCGCCCCTCCCCGAAAATTCTACCCCCGCCCCCGAAAATTTCAAGTACCCCCCACCCCTCTCCGGGGAGGAAAAAGTCTAAATTAAAACCACCCCCCCACTCAACCCCCCCCCCCCACCCCCACCCCCCTCAGACGTTCTTACGCGGGGGTGGGGCTTCGCCCCTACCCGAAGAATTGTATGCAAGAAACTCTTCACGCAAACCATTTAGATTAGACAACATTTCCTTTTTTTCAATGTTTCAATGACGTCATTACATTACTGTGTGCACTCTCTGGTTTGAGATTATGTTCTACTCTACGCTAAATGTGTCGACGTCATATTTCGTTTTTCGAATTACTGTGCAGGTTTTTAAATTCCTTGTGTTTTCTCTAGAGCGTTCTTGTCAGACAGATAGATAGATAGAGAGACAGCGAAACTATTATTATAGACGAGAAAAATGGCCCGTTGAGGAAGGATACACCGGGCGCTAGGTTGATAGTGCTGTCTCTTTTCTCTAAACAAAAACCACCCCCCCCCCCCCCCCCACACACACACCACCCCCACCCCCACCCACACCACCCCAACCCCCCACCCCCCCCCCCACACACCACCCCCCCCACACACCACCCCCCCCCCACCCCCACCCCTACACACACCACCCCACACACACACCACCCCCCACCCCCACCCCCCCCCCCCCCCCCAAAAAAAGCATGTCTACCGTCCCATTCAACAAAATATAATTATATACTTTTTCCAGTGTCCGCCCCCTCCCCGAAAATTCTACCCCCGCCCCCGAAAATTTCAAGTACCCCCCACCCCTCTCCGGGGAGGAAAAAGTCTAAATTAAAACCACCCCCCCCCCCACTCACCCCCCATCCCCCCCCCACACACCCCCCCCACCCCCCACCCACAACCCCCCCCCCCTAAAAAAACATGTCTACCGTCCCATTCAACGAAATATAATTATATACTTTTTCCAGTGTCCGCCCCTCCCCGAAAATTCTACCCCCGCCCCCGAAAATTTCAAGTACCCCCACCCCTCTCCGGGGAGGAAAAAGTCTAAATTAAAACCACCCCCCCACTCAACCCCCCCCCCCACCCCCACCCCCCTCAGACGTTCTTACGCGGGGGTGGGGCTTCGCCCCTACCCGAAGAATTGTATGCAAGAAACTCTTCACGCAAACCATTTAGATTAGACAACATTTCCTTTTTTTCAATGTTTCAATGACGTCATTACATTACTGTGTGCACTCTCTGGTTTGAGATTATGTTCTACTCTACGCTAAATGTGTCGACGTCATATTTCGTTTTTCGAATTACTGTGCAGGTTTTTAAATTCCTTGTGTTTTCTCTAGAGCGTTCTTGTCAGACAGATAGATAGATAGAGAGACAGCGAAACTATTATTATAGACGAGAAAAATGGCCCGTTGAGGAAGGATACACCGGGCGCTAGGCTGATAGTGCTGTCTCTTTTCTCTAAACTAAGACCACCCCAGCCCCCCCCCACACACCCCACCACCCCCCCCCACACCCCACCCCACCCCCCCCCCCCACACCACCCCCACCCCCCCCCCCCCCCACACCCCGAAAAACATGTATACCGTCCCATTCAACGAAATATAATTATATACTTTTTCCAGTGTCCGCCCCCTCCCCGAAAATTCTACCCCCACCCCCGAAAATTTCAAGTACCCCCACCACTCTCCGGGGAGGAAAAAGTCTAAATTAAAACCACCCCCCCCCCACTCACCCCCCTACCCCCCCCCCCCCCCCTACCCCCCCCCTCCACCCCCCCCCCCCCCCCCTCTAAAAAAACATGTCTACCGTCCCATTCAACGAAATATAATTATATACTTTTTCCAGTGTCCGCCCCCTCCCCGAAAATTCTACCCCCGCCCCCGAAAATTTCAAGTACCCCCACCCCTCTCCGGGGAGGAAAAAGTCTGAAAGAAACACTGGTGTCGCGCTTAGCCACTACGCGAAGAATTGCATTAAAGAAATTGCGAGAAAACCACTTTTTAGATTAGACACATTAATTAGGCGGTAATTTTATTATAGAGTATCGATGAGGAAATTTCTTTTGAGTTGGGGAGGGGGGGGGGGCTCAGACGTTCTTACGCGGGGGGTGGGGCTTCGCCCCTACTCGAAGAATTCTATGCAAGAAACTCTTCACGCAAACCATTTAGATTAGACAACATTTCCTTTTTTTCAATGTTTCAATGACGTCATTACATTACTGTGTGCACTCTCTGGTTTGAGATTATGTTCTACTCTACGCTAAATGTGTCGACGTCATATTTCGTTTTTCGAATTACTGTGCAGGTTTTTAAATTCCTTGTGTTTTCTCTAGAGCGTTCTTGTCAGACAGATAGATAGATAGAGAGACAGCGAAACTATTAGTATTAATTGAATTTTAAATAATAAGAGGACTTAACCATGCGTAGATCACTTTGCAAAAAATATTGACTTGGTTGTTTCCCTTTGTCTATAAAAAATATTAAGCAAAACCTGGAACGGGCTAGAAATCACTTTTTAATAAAATAATTATTAGTAATAAGTGAAGTAATATTGTTGATTATCGACAGCAAAAGTTACGCTACTCGTGACACGGACATTACCGCCTCGACTCAACAAACTCCGACTAACTGGCTTAAATTTTTAGGAACGGAAGCAGCAACTTCTGAAGAAAATAGTCTATGTGTTTGTCTTTTATGCATTACTACACTTGTGGGCGGTTGTTGAGAATACTCCTCAAGAGGTTTATGCGAAAAAAATTTGAAGGGGCGTTCCCCCATAGGGTGTGATTTTGCTCCCGGGCTCCACCGCCACCACTATGGCCCCTATTCCGGGGTGGACTATCTGCGCCCTCTTCCTCCCATTTCTATTTACAGTATTCCAGTCTGTGAAAAGCAAACAGTTTGAAAGGTTTGTGGCGCGTCTTACTAGTTACTAATTAGTTACTATCCCGTAACATTTTCCAATTCGGTGCCTACCGAGATATTGCTATATCAACTAGATCTATAACTACACAAGGTTCCAAACTAATTTGGCACACTTTCATCATAAATTTACCTGACAATTAATTTTAACTTCCGGGTTAAACATGGTTGTAATTTTAAAAGTAGAAGTTCTACTAGAACTTTCACTTTCAATTCATTAACGCCAGTGAGTAGTGGCAGTAGTCTTCAACTTATCCAACTTATATTGAATTGGTTATTCGTACCACAATAATTAAATGTAATTTAGATTAGAGTCTACATTGGATTAGATTAGGCATTCAACCACGTTTGTAATGCAAGCACAAAGCGTGTGTGAGTTATCAGTGAAAGAGTGAGTTTGAGTTAAAACTGGGGTAATCTATCGTTTTGGGTACGTAAAATCGCCCGCGATTTGTAATGTGAAAAACAGGTGACTCCTTAAATTTTAATAATTATTTCACATTTTGAGGAGGATTTATGTTTTAAAAAATTCAAAAATGTTTCCTTGATTCATTTAGGGCCTACCTGTTTTTAAACAATTGAATTAAAACTTTTTCGTAATAAATGAAGACTAGCGATGTTTCCAACACATGCAACCATGCTCATTTACTATAGCAGCCATCTTGTCTAAGTTTTATTTTTATAAGCTTTTAGCGCCAGATTCAGGGGGAAGTCACTCTATTTTACAAATGGCTGCTGTTTATATAGCAAATCTTGCTCTCAGACACTGCTGTTTAAAGTTAATTTCTGGCCTATATCGATATATTTAGCGATTGATTTAGGTTTATTATTCATTTATCTAAAATATTTGACACAAACATATGACAATAAACTTCTATTAAAGCCTTGACAATGAGGTAACGTTTTCGTACATAAATAGCCACGGGCGATTTTACGTACCCAAAACGATAGATTACCTTAAAACTTTAGCTTAAATTTTTAAAACTTCGGTAATCCGAAAAATATTCATTATTTATTAGTAAAAAAAAATTATTCCATGCGGGGAATGCATTTTGCACATCACTTCATGTACACGCGGAAAACCCGAAGTGAGCCGATGATAGCAGAAGCAATCAGAGTTATGTGCCTTGTGATTTGGCGCCTTCGGCGTTTATTGAATCGGTTCGTGGCGTTCATTCCATTCGTTCACTTCAGGTTTTCTGTGTGTACAAGGTGTGATGTGCAAATGGCACTAGCAGTTCCAGGCTAGCGTAAATAGTGCAGTCTGGCTCGCCACTAGACAAGTTGGGACAAGTATCGAACATATTTAATAAACCTAGGCAGTCAAAAAAAAATTAAAACTGTAACCAATGAATAAAAATAAATCATATTTTAAAATAATGTTTATGAAAAAAATTCTGACTCTGTCGAATAGTGAGAGGCGGGCTCATACGAATCGTTCAGCGGGCTCTATGGCACCCGCGGGCACAGGGTTAGGAACCCCTGGCTTAAATAATAAATAAAGACTAGCGATGTTTTCATCAGATGCAACCAAGCTCATTTACTTCAGTTAGGCCTATCTATAATATTTGACACAAATATATCACAATATATTTAATATTTCTATTTATTAAGTTAAACTAAAGCCTTAAGTCCTTAACAATAAGGCTACTTTTTCGCACATTACTAGCCTTGGTCGATTTTACGCACCTAAAACGATAGATGACCAAAACTTCTTAAAACTACCATATCTTACTATGCTAGTATTAGGATCAGGTATCAATGTCATCCCCTTATTTTGATGAGCAACTTACTATAGCAAATAACTGAGAATTTTTCTAGCCCATTCAGTGTTTGTAAAGTCACTCTTTGAAATTTGAAAAAAAGAGTGCAATTTTGGTAGGACTTAATTTGGGAGTATTCTGTATAATTGCTTGTATATGTCAGTCAGGTATTCAGACCCTGAAAGTGAAAGAAAGGGAGTCGTCCTAAAGTAAACATTGGAGTGTAAGGTTAATAGTCAATAGGCCTACATATTTTATTTAGTGTGGCTGGATTAGATCTAAGGTTATTCTTGACCTTAAAGTGAGAAATGTTACTGAAGCATTTACAATGAGCATCCTTACACATTTGCTTTTGGAAAAATATATCTCAAAATTATGCATGTTTAAATATCATCTATATTTGAAAGTATATTGTTATTGTTAAAAACCTACTTGAATGATGTAACTGTTTTTGCAGTAAAATAATTCTTAATATTTGCAAGTTTAATTAAAAAATTATTTTGTTTCAGTTCATATATTGTTGCCAAGACTCTACATAAGGTTTAAGAGTATAGAAAAGTATTTTTATGTAAGATTTAATTGTTAAGTCTATCCCCTTTTTTAGTATGATGTGAAGAAATTATGGAGGGATTGTCTAGTAAGGAGAATGGCTTATGTGTAGCAGCAGAGGGTATGATAGATACCAGGCCATTAGATGAGGCAAGTCATTCAGTGCCAAAGTGTGTGTTGCTTGAACAATGTTCTACAGCTAATATAGAGATGGCTGCGTCAGATGAGAAAGAACTTGATGCAGAGGTTAAAGGTAATTAATTAATTAACTTTGGTAGGGGGAATTTGTATCTGATCTATTGAGCAAGTAAGTCTAGAATCATTAAGGACAATATTTCGAGTTGTCTCTTTGAAATTTTATAATATAGACTGAACTAAGTGCATTTGAAAATTAATTGTTCTTTTATTTATTGTTTTGTTTCCAACAGATTTTGTAACTACTTTAAAACCAACAGAACACAGTTACTTTATGTAAGCCTTTACTTTACTGTAGAAAATCTATTTTTGTGAAATTAATTCAAGTACTCTCTTAAAATTGTATTAAGTCATAATTATCATTTTTATACACCTATTGTAAGATTCTATTGCAAATCTTTTTATTGTTGTTTTGATTTGATACAGCTTTATAATAATTGTATGAATAATTCTTATTTACGATATTATTTTTGTTCTTACATCCACAGGATGAAATCCCATGGCCTTGTGGTTGGAAAATATGATACTTTACTTGACTGTTTTATTGAACCTACTGATCCTCTACTGAATGGATATATTGTACGAAGCATGCATATCTCCACTGTGAAAAATGCTACTTTTAAGTGCAGACAAATAGCACAGAAACTTGGACTGATAGACATTAATAATTTGGAAGTTTTTAAAAGGTATAGATTTGCTGTTACTTATCTTATGAAAAAAAACAAGGACTTAAGAAGAAGGACAACTGCTAACTGGTACAAACTAGTTGAGCTTTTCAAAACACCTTTTACTTTTAACAGTTTTGGTAGAGTAATAAGCACTGTAACTAGTGCATTATCCACTGAGGAATCACATAACACTAATAACAGTCATCTAGAGCTTGTTGAAGTAGAAGTAAATACATCTGGTTTGGAGATTTCTTCTACTCAGGAAGATGACACTAGTGTGGATGGGGAGACCATTATTAATACTAGTCCATTATGTGTGCCAGGTTTTTTCAAATCTAGTGTTAATCCAAGTTTTTCTTCTGCTGATAAACAAATAGATGAGAAAAGTAAACGTAGCATTAGAGCTAAACATAGGCTTTGGTTAAAAACAAACAGTTGTTCTAGGTGTCATTTGAGCAATCAAGCACTGCTCAAGAGTAAAAACAGAATCAGAGACCTGAGAAAAATATGTCGCTCTCAGCTGTCACCTAAAATAGAAAGTATGCAACAAATTATAAGCAATAAATCCATGGAGATTGAGAAGCTTAAATTAAAGATCAAAACGCTAGAGACCAAGAAGTTAAAATCTGAATCAAAAAGTGATTTAACACTTTCTTCTTTAGATAAGGAGAAGGGTGAACAGCCCACAACTTCTACACAGGAAGAATTAAGGGTATTAAAAATAATGCATACAGCGCTGCAAAATAAAATGCAATTATTTAATGAAATAAATGAAAAAAATTTGCTTGCTTTTGTAAACAAGTTGAAATCAAATAACATTGAAATAGAAAAACTGAAGGCAGAGAATGAAAAGCTGGTTGAAGAAAAAAACACATTGAATGATAAGCTTTCTACTGAGTTAATTTTACCTTTTGATTGTATTCATTCAATAGAATAAGCAGATTAAAAGCAGAATGGTCAATGTTTGGCTATGTTTAAGTTTTGTTGAGTGTTTTTCTGTTACCCAATCATTTACTATTCCTTGAAAAAAAGTAAACAGACCATTGTAGATATGCATGAAAAATAAAAGTATTTAAATTGTATTCACATATTTGCCAAATAGTTAGAAGTTAAAGAATAAGCTGTGTGTACTGTATTTTTTTTAATATGGAAATAAATTGTTGGATTACTGATGAAGCACGTAACACAAGTTTGAATCAGAATTCTTCTGTATGATTTTTCTTTCACTGGTATTATTGGTATTTGATTTTTAATGGCTGCTTGGACTACTGAATCTAATTTTTAAAGCTATTTTTTGCTACCTAAATATATATATAGTTATAGATCCATGTTGGAGTAGTTGACATATTTCATTCAGTGAGTTGGTGTCCGTGTTCTTCTAGTAGGTTGATGATTTTTTTTACAAATAGAGTTCTTATCATTCCAGAGTTGCCTGATATGAAAAGATTTTTTTGAGTGAACAATACATTTAACATATTGAAACCTGTAACTGTAAACTGTAATTAAAGGAAATGAAATGTATTCATTTTCTTGTTGTTACATTGCATATGTTTTAAATAAAGATTGTTATAAAGGTGTGAATGTTTTTTATTAGTTGTACTAGTTCCTTGTGGCTGGGCATGTGGTGAGAAAACACTAAGTAATGAAGTGGAAGCAATAAAAATTATAGATTTATAGGTGGATATTTTTCTTTTGTATTGATTTCCAGATTTAATTCTCATAGCACATTATATTAAGGGTTATTTTCATCCAAAGTTAAAGTAAAGTAGCTGAACAATCGCCTAAGCTAAAAATAAAAGGGCTAAAAATATAATCAAAGGTTTATCGCTATTTAATTTAGTATAAAACTTAAATGTACTCAACGTGCATTTTTAAAAAAAGAACAGATTAATTAAACACTGCTTCTCACATAAAATACGAGCCAGTTTGATGATGCTTACTTTTCTGCTACTAATGCAGCTGAAGATTATGTATTCTCTATCTTGAAATTTATGTGGTAATCTATAATTTATAATAAATCCTTGAAGTTAAAGACCTTCATCAGAAATATCTATTGTAAAGCAACAGCAAAATTAATATTAATAATATACAGCTCAAATCAAGTTATTAGGTTATACATATTCTGGTGTACAATATACAGTTATGTTTGTATTATATTAACTATAGTCAGTGTTTCTTTCAGACTTTTCTTCTCCACGCGGGCACTTGAAACTTTCGGAAGAGCGGGGCAGACTTAAATTATAAAAATTTGTTTTATTCTATTTTTTACTTAGACCATGGTCCACTCGCGAGCTGGAAATCAGCCAGCCGTAACAATCAGTAAACCTTTGTATGTTATCTGATCAAACGATTGCTGTTGTTTTTGGTTTTTTTTACCTTCTTATCTCCCCTTTTTTAATAGATTTAATTTTTGTAATGTTGGTTAGTGATAAAATTTAATGACTAACCAAAGTGCTAATAAAAATTTTTAATACATCGAAGAACAGCGTATTTAAGAATTTTGACCACAAAATTTCTGAACTCGCAGTAGGTTAAAAATTGAGTTACAAGATTTGCCACAACCGACCAATAAAAAAAAAAACAGCCACTGTGAACAAAATAAAAGTTTATATTTATAATAATAAGAAATAGCAGGTTTTTTAAATTAAAGGTTATCTAGTTAAGAAGTCTGCTGTGAGCTGTTCCCGATTATTGGGTGTGAGAGAAGTCCACAAGGTACATTATGTTTGTAGATCAACTTAGGGGTCATCCATAAATGACGTCAAGGTTGTTTTTTTTTTTTTTTTACGATTTTTACCTCCTTTCCTCCGTCACACATCGTCATAAAAATCCAGCGCCCCCCCCCCCTAAAATGACGTCACACATCAGCCTACAACCTTCCCCCCCCCCCCCCCCACTCATAATTGCATTTGATTTTTTCTTATATGCGAAGTTTTTTTCCAAAATAGTGTCTGAACTCTATCAACATATAGTATTTTAATCAATTCCTATTACATTAAAATTTATTAAAACATTTTTCTAAAACGCGAAATAGCGGCTAAAATTAGTTTTCTAACATTTCTTTTTTTATAATGCAAAAGTTTGACGTCTCACCATTTGAACCCCTCCCCCTCATCACACATCGTCACAAAATTACGGACTCAATTATGGACCAAGCCGTAACAAAACATTTATAATTGTATTTTCTTTTATTTACTTTGTTTTCAAAACCAATGTGAAGACCGAGCACTCTTTCTCCTGCCATCAAACACACGCTGTCTTCGGCGAAATTCTTTGAAAAAAGAAATTTAAGTCCATCTAGTTCGATGGCCCCGCTGCAGATGTAGACGACTATCCCTAATTCGAGAGTTAGACATTGATGATGCCGTACATCGGCGCTTTTTGCCCATTTCAAGGTACCCCTTCCCCCCCCCCCCCCCCCCCCCCCCCCCCCCCCATTTGGTGTAACAAGTAGCGGATAGATAAATGAATGAATTTTGTTTAACTACCTAACCGCACATACAACACATTTTTTCAAGCACTAGTCAGAGGATATTAATTTAATTGCATAGTATTTGTTTGATGAATTTAATTCACAAAGCCACGGAGTTAAGACTATTTTGTTAATGATTTTTTTAAAATGTTATTAATTAGTAAATGAATTAATTGAATATTACTTATAGTCACTTTATCTATCTGAACCAGTACTAAGTTATAGGCTTCTGAAAATTTGAAAGTAGAATAAGTTCCACTTTCGGCTATCGGAAATTGCTGAAAAGTTGATACAGAACTAATAATCCGGGAGTGATCTTCCCTAAACTTTCTCGGATATTCTAATATAAAACTACGAGAGATGGCAACTCAGGACATAGACAATATTTGTAATCCATTTTTAATTACTTAAACTTTTTATAATAGAATGGAATCTCGTAAAAAAAAATAATTGCACACTAAGTGAACGCCTAAAAAATGTGCATAATAGTGCGGGATATTATTAGTACTTTATAAATTTACGTGCGATTTTTGAGAAATCGGAAATAGCGTAAATTAGTCCTTCCGGTCAACAAAAATTACTCAAAATTTGACAGAAGGTAGAGAATTAGATCTTTTACTTACATGTGAAATTTCATTTATCTATCTAAAATAGTACTCAAGTTATAGGCTTTTGAAAAATTCAAAGTAGAAAAAGTACCACTTCCGGTTATCGGAAATCGCTCAAAAGTTGATACGGATCTACGATTTTGATAAAATACTTATATATGAAATTTCATCAACGTAGCTGTAGGCTAACGGTACTCAAGTAATCGTGTTTACACACAGACACACATGGACAAGATTGCAAAATTATGTTTTTCCGTATCAGTGAGGTGTAAAACGTCAAGATTTATAAAAATCTCGATTTTTTTTTGCACGATTACAATACTTTCTCTATACTTCGTATATACGAGAAAGTAAAAATGCATATAGATCTAATACTTGTAGATCTATTTGAAATTTCATCAACTCAGTTTGTAGAGGTACTCAAGTTATCGTGTTTACAGACATAAACACACACACGTGCGCGCGGACAAAAATGCAAAACAATGTTTTTCCGAGGAGTAAAACGTGGAGATTTGTGAAAATCTCGATTTCGATTCTTTGCACGATTGCAATACTTCCTCTATAGGCATAGGGCCCTACTTCGTATACGAGAAAGTAAAAAACGGTATAATAATATTAATAACAAGCTTTTAAAGGCACTGAAATTATGAAAATAAGAAAAGGAAAAACTGATTAGCTTTGTTAAATTTGTTTAACAAACTTTGACCGCTCATAATATATATATATATATATATATATATATATATATATATATATATATATATATATATATATATATATATATATATATGTTACGGTCAAAGCCCGAAGTCGGCCAATGCTAGGATTGGCCGGCCAATCCGCGCGTTGGCCAATATCGCCTCCCATAGGTCGGTCAAAGTCCGAAACTTTGCTTGATTTCGGCCTTTGGCCGGCCAATCCGCAGACTGGCCATGATGGACCGGCCAAAGTCTTAATTAGAAGATCATCTGGCTATGGACGACCGGCCAAAGTCCGAATTAGAAGATCATGAGCAGATTTTGGTTTTTTTTAAATGCCGTAATGATCATGAAATTAAGTCTTTATTGATTATTAGTTAAAGTAAATGACTGAAACATTCAAATTTTTTATTGTACTATAGTTTCAATCTATCAATATCATCATTTGTTACAACAAGTTGAACTTTTATGGCATTTAGAATTACATAGCAGCTTGTTATTTTTACACTTGCAGCGATTTGTTGTGCACTTAGTTGTGCAATTGCAGCGAGTGTAGCCTTGGCCCCCAGTCAATGATTGTGAAGATGCGATGGTTCGTAGTGATTTTTCCTCAGTGCCAACTGACGACAATAAGAGCAGTTTTTCGTGAAAAATTGAAAACTCACTTCTAGCATACAGTTGTTTTAGAACACCATGTTCCGTTCCTAATTGGTAGAAACCGCCTTCGACGCTCATGACAACTGCAATCACGCTTCGGGGATTACCGCGACCTCTGTCAACATCTGGAAAACGGATGCGTACATTGTCACCCACTTCACCATCTTTAAATTTTGTATTTGATGTTTTAAGCATCTTAGCACCTTGAGTTTGCAAGCCAGTATGAGCTGCTGATCTGTGTTCCCTTATGTCTTGTTTGTTGTGACACAATCTGCAGGTAATGTTCCCTCCGTACCCTTCGTCTGCTTCATTGGGTATTCCACAAATAGCATGGAAATCGTTGCCACAGGATCCACAAGAATGAGCTGCACTACAATGTTTTTCACAAACTATATAGAATCTGTTGGCCACATTATTGTCACGCAACTGGTCTGGACGTTCCGCCACGGCAGTAGATGTGCTAGCTGAAGATGTCGTTGCATTTATGGCAACCTCCATTTCTTGTTCAATGTTCTCAAGATCTTCCTCAGTAACTATTTTATCGAGAGCCCATATATGGAAACTAACATGGATTTACATTTTTTTTCTTTTGACAGCCATCTGCTATGTCTGTCTCATGGTCTGACGGCCCTTTTGATCCATGTCGCCTTGCATATAGAATGCTATACAAACAAGAGCTAAACAATACGTTACTCTCTATAAAAACGCACTCAGAATAATGAAAATGCGATCACAACTTAGTCTAGATAGAATATTGGCCAAGACATCCCGGCCAGTGCGCGCATTGGCCGGCCAATGTACAAAATACGCTGTCAAGTTTAAGCGCTTCGGACTTTGGCCAGTACGTCCCGGCCAGTGCGCGCATTGGCCGGCCAATGTACGAAATACGATCTTAGTGCTAAGTTCTTCGGGCTTTGGCCAAGAGAGCCGGCCAATGCGCGGATTGGCCGGCTAATCCTGGGTTTGGCCGCATTTCGGGCTTTGACCGTAACATATATATATATATATATATATATATATATATATATATATATATATATATATATATATATATATATATATATATATATTATAGTGCATTTAGAAGCTTGTTATTATATAAAGGAAAGGTTACTGGGTTTTTTTTTTTTAAGTTTGATTTCTGTTAATAAAGATAAATGCTTTTAAACCATCACTGGCTAATTTTTATTTCTGTTTCAGCGATATTAGTTGAACTATTTTTTAAAGTGTCTGGGCAGAAGGGATTGATCTTCCGCCCAGCCTGTCCCAGAGATCAAGGCTGGGAGGCAAGCAATATATTTCTCCTGCGCATGCTCAAAACAATTTCACTACGCATTTCTGCGTGCTTAGAATTTAGATGGGTTTGTTCTTCGTGGTTCAATGGCTTTTGTTAGGAATCAAGCATTTAACTCTTGGGATGATTTCTTTTCTGCTTGCAAGGAGTATTGCGACACAAATTTTCAGCCCATGGTGAAGAAGGGTTGTAAGCTAACGAGTGTGGCCAATGCTAAATTACAAAATGGACAAAGACCGTATCCAGAACGCTTTAAATATACAAATTATATCTTTTTGTGCACCCATTCTGGTACTTTCAAATCAGAAGGTGAAGGAAAGAGGAAAACAGGGTGGGGCATTTTCTTTTTTTTTTTTTAAATATGTGGATGTTTATCAGTTTATGCATGAATATTGTGGTAACTCTGAATCGGAGTTAGAATCTAGATCTAGATCGTATGACGGTTGGTAGCAGACCGGAAACGATGCTTGTCAGATGCTATGCCAGAAAAAAAAATTCGAATTTTCTGTTTTTTAATTAATGAAATTGGATTTTTGGCACTTAATTAACTAGTGCTAACATACACCACATAATAAAGATATCAAGATCTAGAACAAGATATTATAAATATACCAACCACTTTGACGACTTTGAAAATCTATTAAAATTTTTTTAGAAAAATGTTAATTGGTAAACCAATGTTGCCATCACATTTTCTTTATAACACAAAAAAATGTAGATCTACAAGTACAAGATCTAGACTATCTAGACTCTAGTCATATGGAGTAAGTATGGAGGGCTACAGGAAAAGAAAACATTGATAAAACATTGCAATGAAATAAAGCCATAGGGCCTACTCTAATTAAATTTTAGATAGGCCTATATAGGCCCTATTTGTTTAAAAAACCTGAATAATTTACTGCAGTCACAAAAGCAGTTTGTTATGCTGATATTTATTTTGTTAATATAATATAAAATTATAAAGTTCCCTTTCAAACCTGACTGTCTATATACTATAGAAGTAGAGTTCACTTTTTTCTGTTACCTCTGCATATGAAGAGACAGTGTGGTTAGCACTATGCCCAGCCGCCTTTACTTTCCCTAACGACTAACGTGAGTTAGGTACCCATCAGAGTTGGGTGGACTCAGGTCGGTCTACTGACTTGAACCCGAGACTTACGGGTTAGCATTTCTGCTCTCTACTGCTAGACCACTCCATCCCCTGGTGTTTTTTTTAACTTATGATAATTTGGGTCCCTAAATCTAAGTGAAATAGCTATTAGACTCTCATTTGAAAGTGAAACATCCCTTCTCGAATATGGCTGAACTTGAACTGATTAATTTCATTTATGGTGAATAGTTTGCTTTCTTTTATAGCTCAAAGAAATTTGGATGCCCTGGGAAAATTTATGCAGCTCTAAACAGGGAGAGGACCCAGGTTGTTATCAAGGAAATCGTGAACACCCACAATCATGACATTGGTTTGTGAAAATAATTTAATATGCTATATTATTGTTGTATTTGACAGTATTTGAAATAACACTACATGTAAAAGTTTACAAGTTTAGTAGATTTTTCTATAGCTGGATGAGTCCCCTTGTGCTGTACCCTGATTCCTCTTATGTCCTCCCTGCTGGATTATAATGGTCGTAAATGGCATAACATGCTCTATTTCTGTTTGGCTGAGATCCTAGAACTGTAACCTATTTTTATTGTCCTTAAGAATAATTGCTATCTGCATGAGCATAACATAACCAGTGGTCACATGGAGCACAGCATAGAAGCAGTTATAACAATTTTTTTTAAAATTGTATTGATTGCTTTTCTGTACAGGAATAAAGTTCATCGTTCATTTTACTTCAACAAAGGTCCTGAACTTTACAAGCACTATGTGCTAAACAGGCAGCTGAGTTCGGAGGAGAAGGCCCAGGCCTGTGAATTGACCAGGCTGGGTGTGGACATCAATGTTGTGCAGCAATTGATGCTGAAAACCACAGGCAAGCCAATCACAACCAAAGATGTAAGGAATCTGAAGACACACATGAAAGTGGAGGTAAGCCATTGTTTAACTGTATCTTTAAGTAAGTAAAGTACTTTTTAAAAACTGATGGTCCATGGTGCAGGTGAAGTAGAGAGTAAACCTGGTTTAGTGACATCTGCAAATGATGGAATAGTGTGGTCAGCACTATGCCCAGTTGCTATTACTTTCCTTAATGTATTATAAGTCGGGTACCCATCAAAACTGGACTCAGTATCGTTCTACAGAATTAAAGCCGTGATTTGAACTTGAGGCTTTCGGATTAGAAGTTGTACGCTCTACCATCAGACCACACCATTCTACGCATATCTTTTACTATCACCTACTTTTCAGAGTAACCTCTGTCAAAAAAGTGAATTTTAAAATGTTATCTCCTCTTGTCACAAAATAGAATTAACACATTTTGGAAAGGAAAACACAACACATAATAGGTTTGAATCAACCACTAGATATTAAAATCAATCATCACACAACCTAGAGATTGTAATTTCCAAAGTTTTTTTTTTTGTTGGTCTTTAATTATTAGATGTTAGGAGGTTTTTTTTTTAATTAAGGAGAATTGACTGGTCATTGTGAAATTTAGATTATAATAGTTATTGGGTGCCATCCACTGCTCACAAAGAATCTCCTACTTTAGATGTACAAGTATAAAGTTTTGAGTGGAGAGCTCCTGCTACAATTTGGGTTAGCCAAAGACTGGTTGTGTTAGGTTAAAAATAAGTGTGTTTGAACTAACGACAGTTGCAATTATTATTTTGCAATGATAGGCAATGTTGAGTTTAGTAGAGGGGAATGGTTTAATGTTGTTGCAGAGGGTGGTGACAATAAATAAATTATTTTAGGTGGCTCTGATAGTGTAGTGTAGTACAGTAGTCAATAGGCATGCATTAGGCATTGTAGATAAAGAGCAGTTACTGGTAGATGAGATAGATGTAGTTATGAGCCAGTAGTTAATCATTCAGTTGATACTTTTAAAAATTGAGGCATTAGCCACTCCAGTTAGTTTGGGAGCAGGTTATCTCAGTGAAATTAAACCTCTGTTAAAATTACAAATAATAGTTAAAATGGGTAGACCTAAAAGGTATGGGTTAACAACTATCAGTTGCCCAAGAGGGAAGGGGAAAAATAAGTGCATAATCGTAGAAAGAGTGACCCTGACATAATCGGAAGTGGTAGGTAGTTTATCTTCTGTAATAATTTTAGTGATGGTTTCATGATGTATGTGTGCAGGGTAATTCTTGCGATTACTGCTATAATAATAAAAGTAATAATGATTAAAAATTGTTAATTATTTTGTTTTAGTTTGTATAATATTGTTATAGACATTGTCACTAAGGCAACACGTTAGCCTTTTAGGTTTCAGGGTGTGTAAAATTAAGTATTTTTATTTCAGGGAAAAGGAATGGCCAGTCTGCTTAAAGATGGTGTAAATACTCCAATCTCTCTGAAGGGATTGTCTAGTAAGGAGCAAGGCTTTAGTGTATCAGCAGAGAGTATGATAGATACCAAGCCATTTGATGAGACAAGTCCTCCAGTGTCAACATGTGTGTTGCGTGAACCATGTGTTTCTGTGAATGCAGAAACTAAAGGTAATTAATTAATTAATTTAAAAAAATAATGCATTGTGTTGTATTAATTAGGCACCATTTCCTCTATGTTAAAGTATCCATACATACACATTTTTTTTCTAAATAAAATCCACTTCAATTGAATATTTTCAATACAAATGTAGATTAGCGACTTTTTAGTTGGCCTACCAGTATGGAAATTGATAATTAAAGTCTTTTGAAAATTTTAGCATGTATTTATTTATTGATGTTTAAAGGTGATGAAATATCCCCTATCTAAGCACTACATTATGTCAGCTATTTGTATCTGATAAAATGATCAAGAAATAGTGATATATAAACAAACCAAATCAAGCCTAGGATGAAATCTCATGAGATTAATAATAATTAAGTACCTTTTTAGACCAGACAGTTAATTGCTCAGATGAAATAGAGCTAACATGTTTCATTTTATCTTAGCTTTTTATAGGGATTGTGTGGTCAGTACTATGGTGCCCAATAGACTTACTTTCCCCAACTGAAGTCACCTACAATTGGCAAGACTTAAGAATGCTATACATTCTCAACCCCCAGAATCTAATAGTTCTGAGTTAGAAATCACTTATAATCTATATTTTACTAAAAGTGACAAAAATATTTATACATTTTTAGCCAATAAATTTTTTATTTACTCATTTGGAATTGAATGACATAGACTCAACAAGGTTCATTAAAATTTAATTTTTAAATTTCATTTTCAACAGATCTTTTAGCTGTTTCACAAACAAAGGAACACAATTATTTAATGTAAGTCTCTAAAGTAGAAAGTGTATTTTTTATAAAATTAATACATGTTCTTTCTTAGAATAGTCTTATGTTCTGATTTTTATGCTGCAATTTTAAATTTTCTTTTGCTAACTTAGTAAGGGTAAATTAAACTAGTATAAATTATAAATGAATGATTTATAATCAATATCATTTTATTTTTATCATGTTTAATGCACAGGATGAAATCCCAAGGGCTTGTGGCTGGAAATTTTGAATCTTTACTTGACTTTTTTATAGAACCTACTGACCCTCTTCTGAATGGATTTATTGTACGAAGCATGCATATCAGCACTGTGAAAAATTATACTTATAAGTGCAGACAAATAGCACAGAAACTAGGACTTTGTGATTCAGTAGTTTTTCAAACATTTTTTTCTGCTATTGTTAAACTAATGAAAAATGTCAAGTTATTTAGAAAATGTTTGAGTAGAGATTGGCACAAGCTTGTGGATCTTCTCAATACACCTTTTACATATATTACTTATAACAATTTGGGTAGAGTAAAAAGTACTGTAATTAGTGTAACACCAACTGAGGATTCCCATACCAGCAATCTAGAGCTTGTAGAAGTAGATACAGCTGGTATGGAGATTTCTTCTACTCAGGAAGATGGCCCCAAAGTGGCAATTGAGGGTGTGATGAAAACTAGTCAACCAGGTGTGCCAGGTTTTTTCAAATCTGAAATTAGTGTAAAACCAACTGAGGATTCCCATACCAGTAATCTAGAGCTTGTGGAAGTAGAAGTAGATACAGCTGGTATGGAGATTTCTTCTACTCAGGAAGATGGCCCCAAAGTGGCAATTGAGGGTGTGATGAAAACTAGTCAACCAGGTGTGCCAGGTTTTTTCAAATCTAGTGATCATCCACGTTTTTCTACTGCTGGTAAACAAATGACAACTGCGGAAAATAAACGTAGCATAATGGCCAAACATAGGTTACAAAGACACAGTTGTTCAAAGTCTCATATAAGCAACCAAGCACTGCTGAAGAGTAAAAACAAAATTAGAGACCGTAGAAAAAAATGTCTCACTCTGCATTCACCTAAAATAGAAAACTTGCAACAAGTTTTAAAGATCAAATCCCTAGCAATTGAGATGCTGATGAAATCTGAATCAACTGAGTTGAAAACAGCTTTTTATGATTGGGAGAAAAGTGTACAGGACACCACAGATTTATATGAAGGATTACAAATGAAACACACCATATTGCAAAATAAAATGAAGTTACTAGAGGAAAAAAATGAGCAAAATTTGCTTGCTTTTGTAAGCACGCTGAAATCAAACCACACTGAATTAAGGAGGCTGAAGGCAGAAGTTGCCAGTCTGAAAGCAGAAAATAAAAAGCTGGTAGAAGAAAACAATACACTGAATGATAAGCTTTCTACTGAGTTAATTTTACCTATTGTTTACTTCAATCCAATAAAATAAGTTTGAATCCACAATAGAGTAAGTTGTTTAAAACTGTTATGCAAATTGTCAGGTTTTGGCTAAGTTTGTGGCCTTAACTGAATTGATCAGTGAGAAAGGTTAACTACTCAGGCCAATGCAGTTATGAATGAAGAATAAATGTATCTAAAATTGTACATACTTAATTCAAATAATTGGTAAATGCTTATGACTGCTAGCCCAAAAAAACTCGAGTTCCAATCTCTGCTTTGAGTCAGAAGGTTGTCTCCACCAAGCTCTGATGGGTACCTGAGTCACAGTAGGGAAACTAAGGCAGCTGGACCATCCCATGTGTATCAGCTCAACGACTCTTGAGATTCTCTCCAATTATGTCAATATAGAATAAGACCCTTACGTAGTTTCTCAGTCGTGAGTGTCGTTGAGAATAAAACCATCAGCTGTTATATAATTAGAGTATAAACAAAGAATCAAATGGAACAAAGTTTATAGCCTTATTCTATACGGACACGGTCAATCAGCTGCTCAACAGCTGTCGTTGAGAATAGTGTGGGATCGGCTGGCTGGACATAGTGCTGACCACACAAACCTCTAAATTCTGAGATCATTTAAACTCTGAAACATAAGCTCCACTTCATCTACCTCATGTGTCTTGTGAAGGAACAGGAAACCAGGATGATGAATTGCTAAATAGATAGCAGCTATTAAGAGTGAAAGAATGTACAATAACTGATTAGTGCTTTCTTTGTCAATAAAGACAAAATATTATTTTAGATGTAGATAAATAGAACACACATCATGAAGCACTGACTTAAAGCATTTGACTTGATTATTTTACTGGTACACTTGATTCTTTGACTTGACTTGGATTAGGTAGTCCAAACTGGCGAAAAAGTGCGTTTTAGGGTCAGTTTTTGCGGTTTTCAAAAAAAAAATTTCACTACTTCTAGTTGTCCTATAAGAATAAAAATTATATGTCAATAAAGTTTAAGTCTTTATCTGTCGTAATCTGGTATTTTTATATCTGTAACACATGTCTGAATGTGTTTTATATTTGTTTGAAAAGTATCAGTTACGTCAACAAATTTCACCGTTTTGCGTGTACCGATCGACCCCACACTGTTTTATTTGGTCGCGGCTTCGCGACGAAGCATCGTAGAAGCATAATCTTAATGTCATTTTAAAGATCGAATTCTAGGCTATCATTTGATGTATAAATTGAAAAAATAACTTGTTTATTTCATTTAAAAAATACAGATTTTAAACTTTAAATGACGATATATACACGGAAACAAACTAATTCTGTTTCAATTTTTACACCGATGTAAAGTTCAGTTTTATAACTACTTTGTGTTGTAAATTCAAGTATTTCTGATTTACGGTCGCGAAGCCGTACCCCCAATAAACATATAACCCTCGAGTCGACTTTCAGCCCCAAGTAAGTTGCTCGCCGAACGGTTTTAAAGGTTGACGACCGATGATGCTAAACGGATTTTACCCTTGCTAGAGCCTTCAAACAAGTTGTAAGTATCATTTTTAAAGTTTCATTTCCATTTTAATAAATGAATTTTAAGTTTGAATGTCAGTTTGGTTTAATTAGTACACGTTATTAATGTAAATTTGAACGCTTCAAGTCCACGGTTTTAGCGTGTGAACTACGCTTGTACACAGGGTGTGTTTAGACGTGAAGCTATTTAATTCAGGACATTCTAGGGACTTAAAATATGGATGCACTTAACTATTAGATGCTAGTGTTTACTAATTCTTTAAAATCTATTGACTGGGATCAATGATAGGGTCGTATTACTACAGTTTATCTGGACTATCACGTCAAAATTATGAATCGACAAATTCAAAATGGCCACCAGACTATCTTGGTTACTATGTGGACGAACTCAATTATTTACAGGGAACGAAGGTTAAATACTTATAAAATATTAATGAAACACAAAAGAAATGTATAATTATAATAACTATACGTTTTTATTGATTTATTTAAAACAAAAGACACTAAATTTTAAGGACTAATGTGATTAATTTTTTTTTATTTTCTGTTGTGTGCTCTGATTCTGATTCCCCTGCTAAATAATGTGAAATGGTCTGCGCCAGTCTCCGTAATAAAAATGTACCAGATCAATTTTTAGATGGTGGTGCAATTTATTAAGATTCTACATGTTGTGACTTAGTTTTAAATGTTATATTAGTTGTAAGTGTAAGTAGTACTAGTAGTATTTCTCATTATTTATTTATTTTATATGCATATAATAGTAACAATGAAGGACAGTTAAGTTGTCCTATAGGATGTTGAGAACCACAGTATGGCATCTTCATTATTGGATATCTCAACCAGTGTGGCACAAGCAACGAATATTTCAAATTTCATTCAGTAGAATTACTCTTAAAAATATATATTAAGTATAAATTACTTTTAACAAAAAGGTGTTTTCAGGCTTTTTCATATGTTTCCAGTTATAGTCATAGGACAAATAGTAGGCCTACACAATAGGCTGGTAGTAAATTTAATTCTATTTTATTAATCACTAAATCAATTGTTTATTCCATAGCTGGAGACATTTACAGTGGCCTATCCAGAACTTTCCTTACAAGGGAAGGGAAGAAGGCCAAGACCCCACTTCCCCCTACAATTCCCAAAACATATTACTTACTCTTGATGCTCCACAAGATCAAGGTTGAGGGAAACAAGACGTACAAAGATGTGGAGTTGTAGTTTTAAAAACTGTTCCCCCAAAGCAGTTATCAACCGTATAGGTTTGAAAAGAAACCAAAGCATGTGGCATCAACTGCTGCATCACTTGTAGGCATCACGTCTTTATTAAACTACATTACATTACATTTACTCTACTAAATTTTGATTCTGTTTCTCCTGCACTAGATAACTGTGGTATTTTTTAAAATAATATTTTAACTCATGTGATTTTTGAAAATAATTAACACATTTTTCCACGTTGATGTTACCAACACAATAGTTTTAGAGTTATTCCAAAGCAAAAAAAAAAAAAAAAAAAATTGAATTTTTTTTTTTTTTATGAAAATAAAAGTGACCAAAACGCATTTTTGTCATTTTCAATTATTTTTTTACCTTAGAAAGACTCATTTTAGATGACTGAAAAAATTGGGCATATATATTACAAACTTTGCAGCAACTTTACCAATTTCTACACTTCTATGTTATTTAGCTTAAAAAATATGGGTTCTCAAAAATGGCACTTTTTGAAAATCAGTTTTTTACCAAATTTTGCTTTTTTAAAAATCGCATAACTTTTTTATTTATTGAGATATTTTTATAAAATTTGTGGCATAGACCTTACAATTAAAAGTTCTTTCATGACATACTCACTCCAGAAGTCTGCAATCAATAGTTAATTTCAGTTTGGACTACCTACTTGGATGAAAAGTTTGGCAGCAATTGTTGTTGTAAGGTGGAAGCTTAAACTTAAATGATTTGTCTACAATCGACATTTTTTTATACTGGCTATCTAGTTTGCTGTTAATTAAAAAAATAAACTAATTCACCATTATGACTATTTCGTTTGTATGGTAAATTGAGCTTTAAAATTTAAATGGGAGAGGGAATAGCTATACTGGTAAGGGGTCATCCATAAATGACGTCACGCTTTTTTTTTACGATTTTTACCTCCCCCTCCGTCACACGTCGTCTTAAAAAACCAGACCCCCCTTCAAAATTGCTGTTGAATTGTTCTTAAAACATCGATATTTTTCCAAAATCTAGTCAGAACTCTGTCAACATAGAGTATTTTAATCAATTACAATTTATTAAACCTATTTTCTAAAACGCGAAATAACTGCTAAAACTCGCGCAAAAGTGTGACGTCACACCATCTGAACCCCCTCATTACACACCGTCACAAAATTACGGACCCCCTCCCCCTTCGAGTGTGACGTTATGGACGACCCCTAGCCTGGTCTAGGGTCAATGAAAATATTTGTTTTCTTTTGTAAACCGTGAATGTCAATATTTTAATAATCGTTTAGCTTAAATTTAAAAAAATATAATTTTTAAGTAGGTTTACACAAAACATACAACTCCTCCCCCCCCCCCCCCCCCCACCCAATCAATACAGATAGTTATTAGCTATTAACTAAAAACAGAAACGTGGCAAAATATAAATATGTAGGTCCCTATAAATTATACAAATATAATTTAACATACTATACACACATTTTAAATTACAAATGATATAATAAATATAAATAAAACTGATCCTCTAGACACCAAGTAGCTCATTTGTCCAGACAAAGCTATTTTGTTCATACAACTATAAGCTGATTTTTTTTTTACCACCAAGCACAATACAACTATCATGTATCAATAGTGTTTTTTTGTCTTTTTTTTTCTCTGGGAAGGGGTTGGCGGGAACTTGATATTCATCTGTCTGGCACAAAATGACGTCACAACTCAGCATACTCTGTCAAAATTGCAAGTTTTGTTTTTTAATACAGCGATTTCTGAACAACAAACTGATCTTACTAGACATATGACGCAAATTGTATTGCTGCTTGCAAAAATGTTTTTCAAATGTGAAAAAGTAGTTAAATTTCATTTTCAAATCCTCTTGAAATACAAATTGTGCCTTCACACTCTCGGACTTCCTTCTCTACCCTCAGAATGTGACGTCAGTTACGGATGATCAGCAAGAATAAAAAGGGTAGTAATTACATAGGCCTAAGGGGGGGGGGGGTCTTCCATAAATGACGTCACACTCGTAGGGTGGCGGGGGTCCGTAATTTTGGACGGGCTGGTAAAGCTCATGATTGCTAATCCTAATAGTCTTGAGTTCGAACTCTCTTCTAGGAGAAATAACTCAAACAACTGCTACCTTGTATTTTGTTCTTGGATGGAAAAATGCCATGGAAGCAAATAAATAGATTTTGTAGACCTAAATAAAGATAGATCTACATTTAACTACATTGTAACATTAGGATTAGGCTAATAAAAACGGTAGTGAATCCAGAAATTTTTAAAATACAGTTTGCGAAATTGCGATCGACGCTTTACAACTACTTTAGACAGAATATTTCTATAAAGATCTAGATTCTAAGTCTAGATCTAGATTTTTTTTTTTTATTGTTGCTCAGTTTAACATGTTATTAATATTATGAAGGTTTTTAATAGACCATACTTTAGCCATACCTTTAAAAATTAATCAGGCAGTTACTTTAACTTCCGGGTTAAACATGGTTGTCAACAATATTTTTAAAGTATTTTATTTAGTTACTTAGTCTGTGCTTATAATATATTATGTACTAATAATAATAAATAATAATGCTCTAGTTAAATGGATAGGATAATATTTATTATTTTTATTAAATTATTCACGTTCACCTCCAGTTGAGCGTATATATTCGAAGTGACTACTCGGAAAAAGATTTTTCGCCCCAACGTCCTCGCCTAGTCGGCAAAAGATAGTTCTACGCATGCGCAGTGACCTATGGCTGGGGTTAGGGATAGTTATAGGCAGTATGGGTTTAGGCTTAGGGATGGGGTTAGAACTAGGGTTCTGCGGTTGTAAACACGCATGCGCAGTACCATCAAAAACATCGCCGTGAAGGCAAGTTGTAGTTTCTCTCCATTGCGCATGTGTACCTTTTTCTGGCTAGCATCAACCTTTTATATTAGGCCAAGGCCTATAAACTTTTAATATTAATAAAGTATAATTTAATAAATAATAGGCCTAGGACTATGTAGGCCTATAGCCTAGGCCCTAAAAATAATAAATAATTATATTAGGCCTAAATTATTAGGCTAATAAATAAATTAATATTATAATATTATATTATATTAAATATATAGGCCTATAGTATTATAGACTTATTGCATATATGATATATCGGAATAATATCGGCATATTATATAATTTTATAAACACCAGCGAAACACAAAAATGTTAGGAAATGTCTTGGCCTATTTTTAATAAATATTTACTTAGGGGTCATCCATAAATGACGTCACGCTTTTTTTGACGACTGTTACCTCCCCCCTCCCCTCCGTCACACATCGTCACAAAAAGCCAGACCCCCCCCCCCCCTAAAATGACGTCACACCTCAGCCTACATCCCCTCTCAAAATTGCAGTTGAATTTTCCCGAAAACATCGATATTTTTGCAAAATCTTGTCTGAACTCTGTCAAAATAGAGTATTTTAATAAATTCCTTATGCAATTTATCAAATTCAAAACAGTTTTCTAAAATGCGAAATAACGTCTAAAATTCGTTTTCTAACATTGCTTTTTTATAATGTAAAAGTGTGACGTCGCACCATCTGAACCCCTCCCCCTCATCACACACCATCACAAAATTACGGCCCCCCCCCTTCCACCTACGAGTGTGACGTCATTTATGGATGACCCCTTAGGCTATGTTTTTTAGTTTTTGATAATTTAAAGTTACTTTTGTCAAACCTTAAAAACTTAAAAAAAATTTTTTTTAAAATTTGAAATGAAAGATTAAATGTGCTCTATTTAGATCCAGATTTTGATCTAGCTGTTTTTGGTTTATTTCTTGAAAATATGTTTATATCAGTTAAAATTTCATGGCAATGGTCAAGTACAAAACTCATAATCGCAAATGGTTTCACACCAAAATCGACTTTTTTATTTTATATACTGTATATAGAGAAAAATCGCACACTCCCTTAGCGCCGCCCTTGCGAAATTAAAAATTTTTTTTTTTTACAGAACCCTTCCCTAAAGTGTTATAATGAACTCCCCAAAATTTCATGCCTATCGGATGAACGGTGTCAAATCAAAACCGACTTTTATTTTTATAATCTGTATATAGAGAAAAAACAAATCGTGCCCTAGGGGGGCGCCACTCCTACGAATTTGAAAATGTTTTTTGAGCAAAAACCTCCCCAGGAGTATTCTCAACATCTTACCAAAGTTTCATGGCGATCGTGAGAATGGTGTCAGTGCAGTTCACTTTTATTATTTTTATATACCGTATATAGAGAAAAATCGCACCCTCCCGTGGCGCCGCCCTTGCGAATTTGAATTTTTTTTTCGCAGAAACCACCCCAGGAATATTCACAACAACTTCCCAAAGTTTCACGGGGATGTGATGAGAGGTGTAGTAATGCATAACAGACAAACACACATACATTGCTTTTTATATATATAGATTGCTTGATTATGTTGTTTTAATTTATATACTTTTTTAACAATATTGTTATTTCAGGCCTTTAATTTGGTATTAGCCTGTGTTAAAAATTAAGTGTTTGTATTTTAGGTAAGTGTTATGCCTACTCCAGTTTGAAGATGAGGTAAAGACTTTGACTATGGAGGGATTGTCCAGCGAGGAGAATAGCTTTTGTGTAGCAGCGGAGGATATGATAGATACTAATCTGTTAGATAGGACAAGTCATACAGTGCCGAAATCTCTGTTGCTTGAACAATGTTCTGCTGCTGATATAGAGATGGCCTTATCAGAGGTGAAACAACTTGGTACAGAGGATAACGGTAATTAATTAATATAATTAATTTCTGGATAAAAATTTAGTATATTGTATTAATCATGTAACACTTCAATGTATATTCCTTTTTCCTTTTAGTGCTTTTCATGCAAACTAAACAGTCTTTTAAATGTAAATTTAGATCACTTATAGTTAAATAAAAATGCAGAGTAATTGTAGGTCGACCTTTGGGCTGATTGTTAACATCCTCTAAATGTTTGTGCATTTATTATTTATTTATTTACGTTCAAGGTTATGAATATATCAAAATAAAGGTTAAGCACTTAATAACCATATTATTTTGATGTCAGGTATTTGTATGAGAGCAATAACTATTAACATATTAAAAAAAAACTTGAGCAATGGGAGCAAACTCAGGAGGTTAAAAAAGGAATGAGCAGTGCTTATGAGTTAGAAATGGGTAGTTAAATGTTTAATTATTTTACATCAATATTTTTCTCATTTTGGAATTTCATAATAAATAATGAATCAAGTTCATTTTAAATTTAATTTTTTTAAACAGAACTTTTAACAGTTTCACAACCAATGGAACACAATTACTTTATGTAAGGCTCAATGGTGGAAAGTATATTTTAAATAAAAATCAATAGGAATACATGTTTTACCTTAATAATTTAATTAATCATAGTTAAGCGTATTTACTGCAATTTTTCAGTTCCTGTTGTAACTCTTTTTCTTACACTGATACTATTGATTAGATTTATTATGGCCAAATTATAATTGAATGATTTATATTGAAATTATTTACCATAGATTATTCTTTTGTCTTGTTAAATCCACAGAACGAAATCCCAAGGCCTTGAGGTTGGAAAATATGATACTTTACTTGACTGTTTTATGGAACTTACTGATCCTGTACTGAATGGATATATTGTACGAAGCATGCAGATCTCCACTGTGAAAAGTGCTAATTTTAAGTGCAGACAAATAGCACAGAAACTAGATCTTTTTGACATAAATAATTTATTAGTTTTTCAAAGGTTTCGTAATGCTATTGTTAAACTTTTAAAAAATGTCCAGCTTTTGAGAAAACAGCTTAAAACAAACTGGAGCAGGCTTGTGGAGTGTCTCAATACACCTTTTACTTTCAATATTGTGGGTAGAGTAAAAAGTACTGTAACAAGTGTAATACCAACTGAGGATTTAATTACCAGTAATCTAGAGCTTGTTGTGGTACAAGTAAATACATCTGGTAAGGAGATTTCTTCTACTCAAGAAGATGATACTAGTGTGTCAGAGGAGGGTATGAGGAATACTAGTCCATTAGGTGTGCCAGGTTTTTCTTCTGCTGATAAACAAATGACAGATGAGAAAAGTAAACGTAGCATTAGAGCTAAACATAGGCTTTGGTTAAAAACAAACAGTTGTTCTAGGTGTCATATGAGTAATCAAGCACTGCTCAAGAGTAAAAACAAAATCAGAGACCTTAGAAAAATATGTCGCACTCAGCAGTCACCTAAAATAGAAAGTTTACAACAAGCCTTAACCAACAAATCCATGGAGGTTGAGAAGCTTAAATTAAAGATTAAATCCTTAGAAATCAAGTTAAAGTACAAGTTAAAATCTGAATCAAAAAGTGATTTAACACTTTCTTTTTTGGAAAAGGAGAAGGGTGAACAGCCCACAACTTCTACACAGGAAGAATTAAGAGTATTAAAAATAATGCATACTAAGCTGCAAAATAAAATGCAATTATTTAAAGAAATAAATGAGAAAAATTTGCTGGCTTTCTCCACAAAGCTGAAATCTAATCACATTGAAATAGAGCAGCTGAAGGCGGAGATAAAAAAGCTGGTAGAAGAAAACAACACATTGAACGATAAGCTTTCCACAGAGTTAATTTTTCAACCTTTTGATTCAACAGAATAAGCCAATCGGTCCATGTTTTGCAATGTTGAGTTCTGATGAGTGTTTTTCTGTTACTTAAATGATATAATCTCAAAAAAACAGACCATTGTAGCCATGCATGAAAAATAAAAGTATTAAAAATTGTATTTACATATTTGCCAAATAGTTTAAATAAAGTAAAAGAAAAGGCAGTTTGTACTTGCTTACCATTTGACAATCAAACTGACAATTTTTTATTATTTTGAAGTAAATAAACTGACAGCACCAGTAGTTAAGCACATAAGTTATAAAATTTAACACGAGTTTTGAATCAGAAAAAAAAAAAAGATTATTCTGATTATTTTTCAGGTTCATTAATATGACTTTATTGGTATGTATGGCAAATGGATTTTTAAAATGCGAAGTGGGGAAGAATACTTTTGATATTAAATACTTTAAAAATGTGTACTGTATTTATTATTACTGTTTGAAAGGATGGCATGACCCATGATGCACTATCCTTTGTTTGCAATAATTTTAGGGAAAAATTATTTTCCTCGACAATATATAATATATAAATAAAGTGAGAAAGTTCATATTTGTATAAGGTAAATAGCTTATAACTTGTCAAAGAAAATAATATAATGAAAGCTACTGGGTGACTGGAAAACTGAGTTTATTTCACAATTTTATTTTACTTTTCTTGTAAATAATGTGTAGGGGCCTATAATGTAATAAATTATTTTTGTACAATACACTTTTTGTTACTTTTTTGTTCTTTGTTAAAATATCTTAAAAAAATTTCTTATGCAATTTTCTTAAAGCAATTTTAAAGCAGTTTTTTTGTCATCCTCCATCTAAAATATACAAATTAAATAGTGAAGAAGGTGCTATTCTAAACCTGCAAGTACGAGTACCCTTAAAATAAAGCATGACTTGCAATTTGGCATGGACTCAATGTGACTGTCATATTGTAGATCTATATCATCATTAACAGTTGCCGAACAAAAGATGAAAGCCATCGTTATCCATAGTACTGACACTGACTGCTTCATTAACAAACAGTGATGTAGGATACAAACGCCGACCACAAAGATATGTTGTAAAATTAACAAAACGTTGTGTACAAACACAGACCACAAGACAAGTGCTTCATCAATGAACAGTCAGAGTACAATCCCCGAGCTATGTGCCTTCATTAACCATCAGTGAGGTACAAACACTGATCACAAAAATGTGTTCTTCATATGGCTGGTAGGCGCATTTATTAACTAACAGTAACAGCTTAGTACAAATGCCTACCAAAAGTGTGTTGCCTACAATCACTAACCAACATTAGCCAACACTTTAACGCCCACCACAAGAAAAGCGCATCCATTTCACTCTTCTCATTATTTTATTTATCCATCACTGGCTGTTCTTGCTTGCTTTATTTAATTTTATTTTAATTTTCCAAAAAGGCGTATCACAAATGATCACAGATAGAGCGGTCGCCCTCCCTCTCTCTCAGTGTTTCTTTCAGACTTTTTCTCCGGGGGGGGGGGGGGGGGTCAACATTTTTCGGGGGGGGGGGGGGGGCGGACACAGGAGATGCCTGGAAGCAGCTCTCTCTCTCTCTCTCCCTGCACCTCACTTTACTTATACAGTGAAATCAAATCAAAATATCTAAATTTAATTTGTTTGATGATTTTCTAGTACCATGGCCACAGAGGTGTAGCGAGGGGGGGGGGGAAGGTGTACATATGTCCCCGGGCGCCAACCCCAGGGTGCGCCAAAATGGGTTGGAAAGAAAAAATTAAAAGCTCATTTTAGCTGCAGTTTTGCAGTATAAATAGAAAAAATATATGGGGGGGGGGGGGCGCCAAATTTAAAGTTTGACCTCGGGCGCCGGGAAGGGTTGCTACGCCTCTGCATAGCCATGTACACTTTATTTACTCGCCTTGAAATAACAATTGATTAGGAATTATAAATTCTGACAGATGCTAGACTAGATCTATAGGCTAATACTAATATACAGCAGTGGAGTAGGCAGGGGTTAGGGGGATACAACCCCCCCCCATGGACCCCTCTGTAAAAAAGTGTTACTGTCATAATACCACTGTTATTTATTTAAATCTATTTCTGAATCAGTATATATGTATAATAGAATATGAATGTTTAGAACAGTCATCTAAAAACTGTTGCTATGTTCACTCTGAGTTGGCTATTTCCTCACCACCACAATTGTGTAGAGTGACATTAATATCACACCTAGGTATACGCTGGGTAGGATACCTGACCTAAAGTGGCTGGACAGGGGTGAATGAAGTTTAACGCCCCCCCCCCCCCCCCCCAAACTGATATGTTAAGTACATTACGAAGACGCGCAATGAGGTACCAAAGTACCATGCCGCCAGAATCATAGTTTTTGAAACATGTAAAGCTCTGTAACTATTGTTTTTGCAATTACAAGTAAAGAGGTGTGTGATCAATAGTGATCTAACCCATACCATATCATTATGTTGAATTTTTATAAAAACTTTTATTATGCTGTAATATTTTATCATTATTCATTTATGATGACAATATATATAATTCTGATTGTAGACAACATATTTTTGTAAAAACGATAGTGTTAAGCTATTATATTACATACTAAAGTAATTATTGATCTTTTTGACATTTACATTTAAATTTGTAGAAATATGCATAGTTATATTAAGAGGGTGATTTTTCCCCTATTTCGTTTGTCTTAGGGGTCATCCATAAATGACGTCACGCATTTTTTGACAATTTTTACCTCCCCCCTCCCCTCCGTCACTCGTCGTCACAAAAAGCCAGACCTCCCCCCTAAAATGACGTCACACCTCAGCCTACAACCCCCCTCAAAATTTCTCTTAAAACATCGATATTTTTCCAAAATCTTGTCAGGACTCAGTGTTCTAAAACTCGTTTTCTAAAATTTCCTTTTTTAATGCAATAAAGAGACATCACACCATCTGAGCCCCCCCCCCCTCCCCCTCATCACACACCGTCACAAAATTACGGACCCCCCTCCCCAATACGAGTGTGACGTCATTTATGGACGACCCTTATATATATATATATATATATATATATATATATATATATATATATATATATATATATATATATATATATTGCTGGAAAAAAATTGACCTCCCTTCTCTCCCCCCCCCCCCCCCATGAGACGATCCTGGCTACACCATTATATAGATCGATCGATCTAGTTTGTTTATTTAGTTCGGGCATAAAGATGTACGCAATCAAAAAATTGACCTGGCAACAACTTTTACTTCCGGGTCAAACATGGCTCCCTTCGATACCTTTCTTAACAGAAGCACTTCACGTACCAATAAAACTAGCAAATAACAATAACTTGTGCAGGTCTAAGATCTCGTGGTATGAAAATAGTAAATACGGCTGTTTCGTTTGTACTACATTACATAGGCCCTAACTAACTACTAAAGTTTATAAATCTACAGATCACAATATATATAGTCATTCAATTTCAATGTAATTTGAATTTCATACTAATTTCTACTGTAGACTACTGTGAATTTTCAATGGAGGCGAGCGAGTTGACGAGATTCCTTCCATAATGTTGTTGACATGGAATAAAAACGTCCTTTTTAGATTTAGACCGTAAAAAAAAATAAAAAATAAAAACTTAAGCCTAAAATTAATTTAGAAATTTTATATTTTTAGAATAAATGCTATAAAAGTTGCAAATCCAGAGAACTTGAAAATAATTTGTTGAGTTTAAGGCTACATTTCTATTTATTTTCATCAAGCCTAAGTTATAACCGGATGTTTTACTTTCGTAAGACAAATATTGATTGGCTGTACAGTAACTTAGTGATCGATAACTATTTGTTTACAAAACTTTGCAGATCAAGTTTTTAAATAACAATGCAAATTTAAAACCCCATGACCTAGTTTTCTATTTTTAGCTTACAATGTGTACAATAAAATCAATGGCGGCCTATCGAATAACAGGATGCCATTGTTTATGTCGCCATTACACGTGAAAACCAAATTGTTTTTGCTTTTTTTAAATTTTTATTTAGTTACCGAAAATATTATAAACATCAAATACATCCAATCTTTAGTAAAGTCCGAAAAAAACCAGACATACAGGATTTTATAACCATATTAATTGTAACTACGCTGTGCAAGATTTTTAAATTAATTTATACTCTTTTCTCGCTGGTGTCCATTTGGTGAGTAAAAAACCCAAAATCAACATATTTAATCATGCAATTTAGAGCTGAAATTTAGTTGTTAATGTGCCAGATCGGTGGCGCCGTGATGTAGATAAATATTTGCTATTATCATTAATCGCTTTCAGTATCAGACAATGTAAAACGGGAGCTAATTCATTCATAATATTATTAGGCCTATGTATTATATATACTACTAACTAGGCTATAATAGATGAAATACAACTCAAATCTTCGTATCCAATAAATTTTATTCTTCGATTCTGATTGCAAGATTTAACATGTTTAAAAATGGCGAATTTCTACAAGTACGCTTAAGAAGTCCAGAAGTGGTCGTACCTCATTGAAACGTCAAAATGATTATTTAGAATCTAGGGCCTATTAATTAATTATTTATTAGGCCTAATTAATGATTAGCCTGGGCCTAAGTGATTTAATAAATTTGATTTTATGATCTCGTTTAGACAGACTAAGCTGAGTGAGACCTAGTCTCACTTTCTAGAATCTAGACTGAAAGACTCACAATCACTGTGCAGTCTTCGTGTGAGTTACGATACTAATAATAATAATATGTTGTTGCGCCATCCAGTGACATGAGTAGTAGTAGTATCACTATCCTAATGAGTGTGACTGAGAAAATATTTTGATGAAAATTCATTTTGTGTTGAATAAAAAAATTTATATTATGCATAGTCCGACTTATAATAACTTTTTATCATCATTCCTGTGGAGCATCCACACCTCACCATCGTACTCGTTTTTAGGTGATTTCTTCAAAATTGGGTCCATTATTACTTAAAATAACATTATGCTAAAAAAAAACACTCACTACTAAGCATGTGACCAGCTTTTAATACTTTTATAATTTAATTTCAATCTATGACCATGACAAACTATTAAATGCACATCTCTTATGAAAAAGTGAAAGAAATTAAGCTAGACACATGTGATTCTAAGTCTTAATTAACTGAATATATTATAGATTTGCAGTACTGGCTACCTAAAGTAGTTGACAACTATATTAGAATCCTTACTTTTAACATTTAAGTACTTGATGCAATAGAAGATTTATGCCATTGGTGTCACTTATAAGTGCTTCCAAAATGATGGTGGGATTTAATAACAGTAAAATATAAAACTGATAAACAAATAGCCTTGTTAATTAGTACTCATTAGGCCTACAGTTTTAAAATCTACTGATTAGGCCTACTAAATTCTAAATCTAGTTTTTATAATTTTAATAATTAATTACAATAGGAATATGTGTTGGAAAAATTTTTGATCACATGGTTTGTAACTTGCTAATTTACATTTCAGGACTGAAAATAAATCAATTGTTAGGTCCACTTCTGTTTGAACATTCTGAAAATGTCTCTCTACAATCAGTCAACAAGTGCTATAGAGATATCTTCTGATGAGGAAGGAAACCTTATTGTAGCTTTGGAGGGTAAGATAAATACCAGGCCTTATAGGGTAGGCCTCTTGAGCTTATAAACAAAAAATATTTACATACCGGTATGTTAGTAATCTGTAAATAATAATAATCAGGCATTTCTTCTATAAACTGTATATTGTATTATAAAGAATATATAAGGTATTTGATGTGACTATTTAAATATGCGATTAAGTACCATGATATATTATTAAGCAATTTCTTTTATACTCACTAATAATTACAATGAATCTTTAGAAAGAAATATCTTTTACTACTTTTAAAACATATTGTTTCATTAATTTTTATTCAACAGATACTTCAACTGTTTCAAAAACTGTGGTGTCCAACTGCTCTAAGTAAGTGTATATGAAAAACTAGCGTGCCTGTCCCCGCACGTTGCTGGGGGCTGGAAAAAGTGTGACGAAATATATTAGGAGGGTTTCATCAATGTGTTACCAATCCTATATTCTTAGACCGTGTTTTCTAAAACCGATTTATTTAAATGTAAACAATACCCATGCTACATTTATTGGATCATATTGTCTGGGCAGGGGTTTAGCTAAACTGTATGAAAGCCTTGAGTGTATGTTAATCTCTCTCAGTAACATAGAGGTAGAACATATTTTGACTACTGTCCAAGTGTCAGGGACTTAGCAAGGCACTATCAGGAGCCCCCAGTTACACTAACGTGTCTTGAGTATATAGCCTTACTAAAAAAAAATTAATGTAGGCACCATAGTGCTCAAGGGGAGCCCAGGGTGTTTTGGGACACGCAATCACCAGGAAGCTGGCAGATGATAATGTGGTCAGCACTATGCCCTTCCGCCTTTACTTTCCCTCACGTGATTTAGGTACCCATCAGAGTTGGGTGGACTTAGGGACGTTCCACTAACGTGAACCCGGATTCGAACTCGAAACTATCGGGTTAGCAGTCTAGAGCTATAACTGTACACAGAAAAGAATCATATGGCGTCCTGCAGGGAAGTTGAAATTTTTTTGCTGTAGATACCTCCCTAGGGGTATTCTCAACAACTTTCCAAAGTTTCATGGCGATTGGATGAAAGTAAGGTGTGGTAAGGCATAAAAGGAAACAAACACACAAACGTACTTTCATTTATATATATATATAGATAGATTTTAAAATGTCCTTTTAAAATTTTGTATTTAAGGGTTAATTCATGAAGTCATAGCTATACATCATTTATTTTTATTATTGAATTTGTAAGGCTAAATCGCTGTCATGTTGTCTATACTGACAAAAATTCTTTGTCTCTTTTAATACACAGAAGTGAACCAGGTAGCTTTATGGAGGAAAAACTTAATACTTTAATTGACAGTTATTCCAAGTGTACTGGTCCTCCATTGAATGGAAATATTGTGTATAGAATGCAACCCTCCAATGTGGCACTGTTTAAGAGGTGTATGCAAACAGCATTTACTACTAGTAAACTTGATACAGATTCTGTAGAACGGTTTGATAATGCTGTTTTGAAGCTCCAGAAAGAAGTCCAATATTTAGCAAAGAACAGTAGTGACTGGCCCAGACTTGTAGAACTTTTAAATATGCCTTTTACTTTCAACAAATCAGGAAAATTATCAAGCACTTTAACTGTAACAGCAGTTGAGGCATGGAATAATCAAGGAGTTGAACTCAATGAAGAGTATGGAAATACGTCCACCATGGAAGGATCTAGTAATAATAAACCCAGTGTGGAAATATCTTCTAAAGGGATAAGTCAGTCTGATGTGTATATGTGTACAGATGAAACTATTCCTGGTGTTGTTGTTGTGGCATCTGCTAAAAAGGGAAATGAGCCTAGTGTGGCAGAGAAGGTTGGGATAAACACCAAGAGTAAGATTTTAATAAAAACCAGCTGTTGTTCCAGGTGTTTTTTGAGCAGCAGAGAGCTGCATCAAACCCGGAAGACAGTCAGATTGCTTAAAAACGCATGCCGCGCTCTAAAACTACCTCTAATAGGACGTCTGGAACAAACTGTGAAGAGCAAATCCATAGAGATCCAGGAGCTTACAAATAAGCTAAAGAAAAGTTTGGCAGAGGAGAAAAACAAGAATGAACTGGCTGTTGTAAGTGCCCGTAAAAATGTAAGACATTTTAAAAAATTGCATTCAAAATTGAAATGTTCAATGCAGACATTTGGAGAAGACAGTAAGAAGACTATGCTTGAGTTGGAAAACAAAAAAAAAGAGAATGAAACTGAAATAGAAAATCTAAAGGCGGAAATAGCCAAAATAGTGGCAGAGAATAGAGTGATAGAAAAAGAAACAGATACATATATCGATAAGCTCCATTCTGCGTTAAATTCTTGATTTTTAAGGTGGGTATAGGTGTATAATATTAGCTCAGTTAGTCATCAAGATTAACATTGTTATTTGTCTGAAAGTGTATATTTGTTCTGTTTTTCGCATGAACAAATTATTCAGTTATTTTTTTCAACCTGATGTTAATGGATTAAATAATTACAGATGTAAATTGAAATCTATTGTGCTTAAGTTCATTAAGAAATGTGTTCTGTATTTGAAGATGTATGGCAGTAGCTCTCTTAATTTATACATACCTCACTTTTAGGGGAAGTAGAAAAGTGTCACATTGACCAGAAAATAAGTTCTTTCCTATAATAAGGCAATAACAATAACTATAATGAAATTAACTATTGAGGGATATGAATGGCTACACAGTGGGATTTACTGTCCAGTGAGACAGCTTATAGTAAAAGAACATCATATTAAATAAGCAGTGGTGGTCATTGAAAGATATGTTTTTTGTTAATGTCGCATACAGGAGCTTGTAAATGAATGCTGTAGAAAATGTAGATTACTTCTGACTCCTGTAAATTTTGTCTATAGGTTGTTTTAAATATGTATATCAGTGTTTCTTAAAATTTTAGAGGTACCGAACACAAACAGCTTCATATTTGCATTCACCAAACCTTCTTAATAGGAAATAAAAATATGATATTTTCGAATTCAAACATAGTTATATTTGTATTTCCCATCTCCATATAGCTTAATAAGGTAGTGTTCTCTTAGCTTTGTTGGTGCAAGAATTACTCAAACCTGACATTGCAATTCATGCAGTTTGAACATTGACTTTCATCAGGTTCTGTTAAACATATGAATTCATATTGTACATATTAGTCCAACGTCTTTCTGTTTTTGCTCAACATTATTAGTATGAAGGGATTAAACTATGTAATAATAATCATTAAAAAAGTTTTTAAAAACCCACGTTTTCTGATTGAACTAAAAAGTAGAAAATAAACGCTATACATCACAATAATGCAAGCGATCACTCTACTATAAGCGATGATAAACGTGGGGCGCCGAAGTAAAAGTTATATTACTATTGATTAGATAATACTATTGACTTTTATTAGGGAGCTTGTAGAGAGTCAACAGTATTAGAAACTGTAAGAAAATCACGGCGCCCCACGTTTTTGATCGCTTATAGTAGAGTGATCGCTTGCATTATTGTGATGTATAGCGTTTATTTTCTACTTTTTAGTTCAATCAGAAAACGTGGGTTTTTTAAAACTTTTTTAATGATTATTATTTTCTACTTTTTAGTCTTTGTTTGTTTGCATTAAAATCTTGCTATCGATTTTATCTTTTCACTTTTTTTGGGTAAACGAAGACAACTCGTAAAAAGACAACTCGTAAAAAGACAACTCGTAAAAAACACGTTGTGTGAATACGTTACTGACTAGAACACATAGATTTGAACCCGTGTCGAGTGGGATAGCAATCGTGTGCCCAACCACTCGACCATATCGTCTCCCCCAAACTGGCCTACCTCGTGTAAGTTTAAACTCGGTTCAAACTAAATTATCTGTCCCTAAGCCTGTGGCGAAGTGGGATCGTTCGCTTCACTGCGCGCGAGGTACGCGTCGCTCCAGTAAGTTTAAACTCGGTTCAAGCTAAATTCTCTGCCCCTAAGCCTGTGGCGACATGTGATCGTTCGCTTCACTGCGCGCGAGGTACGCGTCGCTGGTTTTTTTTCTAATGGCTAGCAGAGGAGAATTATATATATAGATTATATAGCGGTCTAAAATGCTCAATAAAATGTTTCCATTGATCAATTTAGTAATAATAACAATTGAATATTCAATGGTCATCCAAAAGAAAGCTTCCCTGAAAATTTCAGCGCGCTAGCTAACTGGGAAGTGCCAGAAATTTCGATCGCAAGATTTGATTGGAAAGACAAACACACAAACAGAGAAAGCAAGTTAAAGAAAACGTGGGAAAAAGAAATCACAAGATGTACCATCACGACAGTTGACTACTGGCCACGGTAAAGAAAAAAAGTATCTTCTTCACAGTATGTATACACACAATTAACTCACGCCTGTATAGGGGGCGTTGGTGTATGTGTGTGGTGACAGGAAGGACTCCACGCTATTGAAATATGATAATGATATGTTACTGGTATTTTGGTGTATTGAATGGTTTGAGAGTATGATTGGAATGTGAATTAATAAAATATGTTGAATGTGACGATGCAAGGAAGGATGTGACGTGCGAGAATAGGTTTTGGTTGTTAGGGGAAATAGTTGAAGTTAGTCTTGGTCATGTCGTGTGAGGGTCTGTAGGTCTTCGTCATGTCTTCGTTAATGTATTCGTGTCTATTATATGTAATTAAAAAGATGAAAATGAATAATGCCGTCCTGCGACACTTTAAATTTTATCGTTTGTGTACGTGGTATTTCAAGTCCTTCGAACCCGTCCAGATCTCACATCATAACATATGATGGATGCAGCGGGTCTGTTGAATCTGATTGCTAGGTGTACAACTACGCCAGTCAATACTGATCAACTTTTGAGATGATCTCCTCGACACCTGATATATGAACGTCTTGATCTACACCAGGGGTCTCCAAACTACGACCCGCGGGTCGGATGCGGCCCCCGAGGTCCTCTCATACGGCCCGCGGAGATCATTTTATCTATGTAAAAAAAAAATGTTGGAGGTGGCTGAGGAACTTTGCCCAGAAAATTCAAAACAATCTGAAAATGTAGCTTTGGGTGCAGATACCAATGCCCGCCTTGTTGAAAACTTTGTGACTTAAATAGCGAAAAATGCAAGCAAGCTTCGCAATTTTCAATTGCAATGGATGAGACGCTGGAAAGCTGTTTCACTTCTCAATTGCTTGTATTCATTAGAGGTGTTGATGAAGACATGAACATAACACAACATATTTTTCTGAACCTAAAACTACTAGATAGGGAAATCTAATTTCTGATCTATACACCCAACTTAAGGCCTTCAGATCCAAACTTGTCAAGTGCAGGCCAAAACCTTAACACACTTTCAGCAGTGCAAGGTCTTCATTTGCATGCGAGATAATAAAAAAACTCCAGTTGCAGTTTCAGCAGCGGTTTTCTGACGGATTCAAAGGCAGAAGAGACGAGACTAATTCAAAATCAAAACCCATTTGAAGCAAATGTGGCCAGTTGCCCATATTAACTGCAGCTGGTGATCATCGAATAGCAGGAAAATGACCTCCTTAGAGACAAGTTCAGAGAAGGGTGGGTGGGTTTTTATACGTTTTTTTTTAAAATATGTTTTTGCCCAAGAAAGACTTTCCTAACATTAAAACTATTGAATCAAAGTACCTTTTTTTTTTAATTTTGGAACAACATACCTGTGTGAACAAACATTTTCCGACAGTGTTTCTTTCGTAATATTTTTCTCCTGGGGGGGGGGGGGGGGGGAGAGGGAGGAGACTTGTAATTTGTATATATTTCAATATAAATATGTTTTGTTAGGGGGGGAGGGAGGGGGTCCGCCACACCAGAGATATCCTTGGAAGAAACTCTGGCCCCCGAACCGATATTTAATAGTTAATACGGCCCTCGGTCTGAAAAGTTTGGAGACCCCTGATCTACACTAATCTGGCCGTGCTGAATTCGTCTGTCCTCTCACTCATTACTGTCAATAAAAGTAAAATCTAAATTGACATGTTTAGATGTATATGACATAGCTCACTAAGGGATTATTAGGTCTGATGAAGTAGGTACAGCTCCCAGAGGCGTAACTCGGGGGGGGGGGGGGTTCGGACCACACCGGGTGACACCATTTAGGGGGGTGACACCAAGGCAAAAAATAATGATAATTCCACTTAATTAAGTGATTTATTTGAGTGTTAAATAGTGTTTTAAGAGGGGCAAATCGAAAGTTTGAGGCGGGAGGGGGGGGGGGTGGGGTGCAAATCGAAAATTGAAAGTTTGTCCCCGGGAAGAGTCGCTACGACTCTGGGGGGGGGGGGGGGGTGACACCCGACCTAGCTACTCCACTGACAGCTCCATATATTGGTCCATTTTTTTAGTGACCTCCGATAATACCTATAACTTGAGTACACTTTTAGTTAGCTGGACAAAAATCTTATACATTGGTATGGTAGCCCTATATTATCTAACTCACTGGTTGCTATCAAATTTCGAGTGATTTGGGGTCATCCATAAATGGAGTCACTCTTGTTTGGACGATTTATACCTCCCCTCTGTCACACATCGTCACACAAAGCCAGACCCCCTCTTATGACGTTACAACTCAGCCTACAACCCCCCCCCCCCCCCGGCACAAAATTGCAGTTGAATTTTTCTTCAAATTTCGATATTTATACTAAATCTTATCTGAACTCTGTCAACATAGAGTATTTTAATCAATTCCTATTTATTAAAACCGTTTTCTAAAACTAGAAATAAATGGCTCAAACTCGTTTTCTAACATTACTTTTTTTTAATGCAAAAGTGTGACGTCACACCATTTGAACATCCACCCTCCCACCACACACCGTCGCAAAATGTCGGACCTCCCTCCCCCCCTACGACTGTGACGCTATTTCCGATTTCTCCAAAAAAGTACCGGTATTCAATGCTTCCTTTATAAAGTGCTAATTTTCCGCTCGAGTATATACACGCTGTTTGCATTCATTTGGCGCGGTGCGCATTTGCTGTGCAATTCTATTTCCACATGATTCTATTCTAATTAGAAAATTAAAGTTTGAAATTTTAAAAATTAAATAATAAAACTAAAACATATATTGTCGGATTGCCATTTTTAGGGGAGAACAATCCCGCTTTAATATAGCGCAGTGGTTTAATAAATTAATATTAAATAAATATTGATCTGTTGTAGATCGTGTAGTTATAATAATCCTTTAAGTTTAGTCTACCAGTTATCTGCAGAGTAGGTTAATCAATCGTTTAACTAGGACAGTAAAATTGGCTGAAGTTAGCAATAGTAATGCACCCCATGCGGATCATCTCAACGACAGAATCGTTGAGCCTCTCTCCGACTGTGTCGCTGAGAATAAAACCCTTTGGTGGTTTCTCAGTCAACACTGTCGTTGAAAATAAAACAATAATTAAACATGCTCTCCACAATTAGGAAAGCATAAACTGTAGGTGTTTTGAAGCTAATATTCCAGCCATTTTGTTTTGACGAGAGCTAGTCCAGATCTAGATCTAGACTAGATC